GTTCCAACCTCCTCGCACATGTTTCAGATTGAACGGCACGGCAGGGAGATGCCGGAGACGGCGAAGCCTTCGGGAGGGAGAAAGCCACTTAGTTCCAGCTCCTTGAGAGGTCAGCTCGATCTACAGAGAAATTTGCTGAGTGCTGTTCCCCTGACTTTGGATAGCCCGAAGTCCCAGATTTTCACCTCTCAAATTTCAAAAGAGGTTGTTTCCAGATTTTAGATCAAAATGAATGTCCCTGAGATAGTTCAGCAGCGAGTTGTGTTTGGGGGGGGGGGGGAACAGGGAGGGAAGGCATTGGCGAATTCGATAGCGATCTGAAAGAACTTGCCCTGTAGAACTGCGTTGCGTTGATCATCGAATGGCTTGAGAAGCCAAAGACACACACGCGACTATGACCTCGAGGAGGGTTGTATCGTTCCTCTACTTCTTCACGTTCTGGGCAGCGGCATGCCAGGTTGGCTTGTGAACCCTTCGCAAGACGTCTAGCCCTCACCATTGCCCTGTCAGGGGCGTTTCCTCGCCATCTTCTTTAGGGACCTCGGCCTTAGCAACGGAGAGGTTGGTTACTTGCTTGCAGCAGGGTCGGCCACGGGGTTAGCGGCGACTCCGATATGGGCCGGGGTGTGCGACTATCTTCAAGGAAAGAAGAAAGTCCTGGAGGCGAACATCCTTTGCTCGTCTTTATGTGTCTGTCTCTACCTGATCCCTTACGCGATTCCTTTTCTCCATTCCGGTACCCTTCTCTTCACCTGGACACTGCTCGCCCGCTGCACGTACAGCTTCTTCTTCACCCCCGTCTTCACGATCCTGGACACCCTCTCAGTTCAGAACCTGGAAGATCCAAAGAGGAACTACGGCAAGTGCAGGCTATGGGGAGCTGTCTCCTGGGGCCTCGTCAACGCTCTCTTCCTTGGTCCACTTCTCGATTTTGTTGGGAGCTGGACGATGGTGGTTGGGTTCCTAATGGCGTCAGTTGTTCTCTTTGCGGTCATTCACCTGATGCTGTTCGAGCGCAAGAAGCAGGGTGAACCAGCCAAGGATTCAGCGTCTTCGCTGGGCACGTACGAGCAGTTTGATGTTGGAGAGGCTGAAGAGGGAGAAAAGAGAGCTGAGGAGGAGAAGGACAAGACCTGGAACAGGTTGACGGAGCTGTGCTGGATCTCAGCTCTACCCAGCTGATCTCTTTCCCGGCAGGTTTTCCTTCAATCACTTACGGGGAGTCGTGCAGCAAGTCTTGCAAATCGTGTGGGCAGAGAAGCTTGAGAGCTTGAGCTTCTTCGTGACCTTCTACGTGCTCGGCATCGGGACGTCGTTGGTGGAGGGACTGGTTTTCCTCTTCTTCACTCAAGATCTGGGTAGGTCATAAGAGGATGATCGGGTGTGACGGAGGGCGAGGATGGAGGAAGAGAAGGTGTTAGGGGCTTGATAGGGTAGTGAATATGAGTAAGGGCAGGCCAGGAAGACAGATGTTCTTGGGAAGGCTCGGCGAAGATGCCATTGGGGAAGTGGGTGAGAGAGCGAGAGAGTCAAGGAGCGAAAGGTAGAAGGAAGGGAGGTAAGTGAAGGGAGGAAGGGGATGTTTTGCAGTTTGGAATGATGGAGAAGAAGCAGGGTGAAAGTTTGATCACTTTTGTTGATTCCATTGACAGGTGCCAACAACTTCTTGTGTGGGATCACAGTAGTAGTCACTGTCTTGTTCGAGATACCCATCTTCAACCACAGTGACTGGATCCTCAAGCACATCAACGTTCACGTTCTGGTTGTCATTGGAGCAATCTCTTACATCGTTCGTGTCGTCTGCTACACACTCTTCAAGAATCCCTGGTAAACGCTGAGAGGCGTAGAACAGAGGGTGCAAGTGTTAGGGAAATGAAGGCTTGAGGAACGACATCGCAGTCAACGAGCAGGCCATGCGGAGAGGATGTGGTGTGAGCTCGTAAGAGGACAGTTCGGAGGGACGGAGTCAGGGAGGGGATGCCAGTCTGTTTCTCTGATCCAGATGCTTTCCAGGTTTGTCCTCTTCGTCGAGCCCCTCCACGGGGTCACCTATGCCTGCATGCAACTTGCTGGAGTGCACTATGCAGCTGAGCTCGGTAAAAGCAGGAAGGGTGGAGATAGTGGTCGTGAACGAAGGGAAGGTGGTGTTGGTCGAGAAAGTGCCGCAGAAGAGACTGGAGGAAAAGCTCCGTGGGGAGGGGAGGGAGCGATTGGTCTAGGCGTGTGAGGTTGTGGAGGGCGAGGGAGGGGATGACGGGAGTTGCCTGCAGCACCGAAGGGCCTCGAGACCTCCACGCAAGGCCTGAAAGACACAGTACGAGGGCTCGGACACATCACAGGTGAAGTTCCAGACACTCTCCTCCCAGCTGCTCCTTCCTCATCCTCCTCGTTTTTGACACCCTTCCTCTTCGGCACCTATCCTCCTGCGCCTCTTTTTCCTATGCCCCTTCCCCTGCCTTTCTTTGCTGGTTCTGCCGCTGCTAAAATTCCAGCAGGGACTGTGCTGGGAGGAATAATCATGGACGTGTGGGGATCGGTCTTCATGTATCGATCAGCAGCAGGTAGGGCGCAGAGAGCAGGGAGGAGGAGGGGGATTCACACAGAAGGATTCAGACAGAAACAGAGGGAGAGGGAGAGGGAGAGGGAGAGGGAGAGGGGGAGGGAGAGGGTGGGAGGACAGGTTGACTGCAGGTAGGCTGACCCTTGCTTGCAGCTCTCGTCACGGCGACTATCACACTCTACGCGATGATTCAAGGATGTGGATCAAAGAAGTCACAGCAGACATGAGGCCAAAACGTGTATTCTATTCGCAGCCTGGGCATCATGACTTGGGAGTTTTTGTCTTCTTCTTCTTCTTGGCTGATCACAAATCACGTCAGCTACAGACTGACGCAAGGGAGGCCTACCTTGCTTGCTCATCCGGGCCTTGCGAGTCTGGAGGTCGGGCGGGTTGTCAGGAGAGACGAGAAACTCGGATGGAGGAGGCTTGCTCAGAGGGAGCAGATGCGCCTCAGTGTTGAAGATGTACTGCATGGCCATGGTTAGCGGACCTGCGAGAAGGATGGCTACCGGACCTTGGACGCGTTACGGAAGATAGCCGTCTCAGGAGAGTCGTCGAAGAGGAGGTACAAGTACTTGACCGTCTGAACGAAGAGAAAGAACAAGGTAGGAATGGAAGGACAACAAATGAAGAGCAGAGGGACGGAGCAAAGGGAGAGAGGAAGCAGGAGCAGGAGAAGTCAGTTTCCTCCCATCCGAGGGATTCTCCCCTCACCTCAGCCAAGAAGTAAGAGTCCATGTGGTCCCTGACCTTCTTCGTCTCCACGTTCTCGATAGCTGCGTACCCGCACTGCACCTTGGCGTACTTCTCAAGGGAGGACAGGATGATCGCCCCAGCCTGGCGGAACTTGTCCTTCCCTGTCGCCCTGTACAGGTAGAAAGCGCTCTCGGCTAGCTCGGGTCGCAGTGGATACTGCTCTAGCCCCTTCTCCGGCGCATGGACCAGCAGGTTGTAGGCCTCTGGAACGAAGCCATACTTGGCCCACACCTCGAAGAACTGCATGAAGAGCGTCTCAGCCTCTTCAACGTCACCGTAGAGGGCCTGGAGCCCCGGCCAGAAGGACTGTAGGCTGCGGTAGAAGGGGAACATGACCTGAACGAGGTATACAGTCAATGTGAGCAGAGCAAGGGAGCAGGGCACCTTTCCAGTGTACATGTTGACGTCGACATACCATCCTACGGATTTTCCGTCGATGAAAATGTGCTTCTTGATCGCAGCGTACCCCTCATCGAACATGTTGAGGTAGGTAGACTTGCCCGTAAGAAAGTAGGCTTTCAGCAGGTACTCGTAGAAAGAGTCTATCCCCCCCCCTATCCCACTGTCAAAATAAACCCAGTTCCCAGTGTTGACGTCGATATGAGACCCAAGTAGCCCCAACTGCGACCGTCGCTCCCACAGCGCTTTGGTCGCCTTCTCGGCTACGACAGAGAAGATCTTCTTGCCCGTGAGCTTGCTCAGCAACAGAAACTCCAGCAGCACCGTCCCGCCCGTCGCCGTCGCCGTCACTGTCGTCTCCCCATACTGAATCCCCCTCTTCAGGTTGATGCTGCCATAGGGCAGCCCTGTCGGGGTCATGTACGCGTTGACGAGCCTGTTGCCTAGAGAGAGCGCGAGGGTGAGGAGCTCGCCATTGTATCCCGGCATGAGATTGAGGTCCTTGTCGGAGGCAAGGAGGTGGTTGGAGATCAAACTGCCAAGGATGCGAATGTTGGTCTCGAACACAGAAACCGTCACGTCCCTGTCGAAGGTTTCCTCGCCATGTTTGATGATCCAGTTCACCACTCGCTGGTACTCAGTCCTGTTCCCAAGCACCGCAAGCGTGTCCAGGGCGTCATAGAAGGTGAGCATACATCCTTGACAGTTGTGCGTGTCGTGTCCTGTGCAGCTGATAGGCGCAAGCTCGTCCTTGGGGAAAGCGTGGAGGAGGTAGCCGTCGTAAGCATGGTAGAACATCCTCCGCACGATCTCTCGCTCTGCCTTGTACGATCTCGGTGTGTTCTCATGCTCCTGAGCAAACGGGCTATCGTTCAAGACGTACACTGAGATCAGGACGAAGACGAGTACAGTCGCGAACACCTACAATCACCATGAGACGCTCACTCTCATCGCCAATTGCTCCATCACCCGAAAGAAAGAAAAGACTGTCCGCTTGTCCTTGGGCTTGCTCGCATTGCTTGACTTGTCTCCGGTAGTCTTCAATGGCTTGGCCATCGATCAATGCTTTCGCGCACCTGAATCTTCTAGTTAGTAAAGGTGAGCCAATCAACCCTTGAGAGATCAAGACCTTACATGCCATCTCTCCATGTGCAATACTTCACCCTCACTCCTTGATTTTCATCTTCTACTCCTTCCCTCTCCCTCTCCCTCTCTTCCCACCCACTCCACCCATGCTGCCTCCTCATCACGGAATCTAGATGATTTCAGGTTCGCTGTGGAACCCATGCTTTCCCTATGCATGAAATGACAGCAAGTCATTCCATCTTACATGCTCATCACTATGCTGGCACAGCAAGGAGCAAGGTGCCTACTCGAGCAACCCTCTCGCCTTATGGAACGATGCTTTCCTCTGACTCATTCCAAGAACATGCTCTGCATCAATTCACCACGTTGGGCTCCCGTCTACAAGCTAGAATAAAGCAAGTTCTGTTCTGCACTAACACGGCATGGCCTTCTTCTCTTCCTCCTCCCTCTCTTCTCCTCTTCCCTCTTTCGCCATCTTTCTCTCGGCCGCCTGCAATCCCTGCTCTCGGCCATTGCTTTCCCCCCGCACGAGGCAGGAGGGGGTGGGCTTGTCGTGAGGACCAAATCTACCGGTCATGGTGTCTGAATAAATTAGTAGAAAAGGGGGGTGATGTTCTCAAGGGGGTGATAGGTAGACCAAACAGCAAGGATCGGATCGAAAGCGCAGGGCGATGGGGCGATGAGGGGGCAGAATGGGCTGGGAGAGGAGAGGGAAGGAAGGGAACGATGCGAGATGAGATCAGGATAGCTCAATCATGCTCCAGTTAGGGAGGAAGCATTCACTCGCAGCGCTGCTGAGATGTAGCGGCGGAATACCATGGCGGAGGGACCGGCCAGGGCCTACGAACTTCCGGGGGCTCAGCAACAGCAGCGATGGAGAGGAACTTCTGAACATCAACAGGCTCATGTCATTGTATGTTTGATACAACTATTAAGGTTGATACCATCGGCTGATTCTTCAACCCCAGGAAAGGAATTTGCTCGCGAAGAGAAGCTAATGAATTTGTACTCGAATCCTTCTTTGTGCTGCCGATGAGGTGACACCAGGCCTTGGAAGGTTCGCCGTGGGCTGGTTGATGTGGACGGAAGGATTGCTCTACTCGGTGAAGAAGTATCACGACACGCTACTGTCCGCCTGCTTCAGGAGGTGAAACACTTGACCCCAGCGCTTGAGCCGGTGAGGTTGACATGTCGGGCAGGCGCAGGAAGAGAAGATGAGCGAACTAACAGTCATGCTGCACAAGCCGATCAACTGGATCTCTCAGAACTCTGACGCGACCTCCAAGAGAGACCGGCATCGCCTGGCCATCAAGTCAGCCCGACGATAGCACAACCACCCCAATGACGCCCGCCACAGGCTCCTCACGCTAGAGAATCAGAGCTCAGCGGACGTCGAGGTTTTTCCTAGCAGCTTACCCTTGCTCCATCCTCTGACTCTGCTTCTCAACCAGCACACACGAGCTTACTCCCGTGCTGTTGTTCCTTCAACCTTGACTGGCCTCGCATGCGCCGGACGACTGGATTTCGAGAGTGAAAGACTGGGGTGTGCAAACGTGTTATTAATCTGTTTTCCTTCAAGGTAGCGGCCTGTTGATTTTCACTCAAGATGGAGTAGTCGCAAGAAAACTGGTGCTACTCGACTCCCCTCGTTACTTGCGATCCGATGAGTGCATGAACAGATCGGACAAGAGTCAAAAATCGAGAAAGAGTATCACGTTACGGTTCACCCTTCAGGTAATTTTCTGTAGACTCCCGTGTCTCCTTTTTCCCTCAGCTTCCCTTCTCGTCTCATACCCTCCTCCAGTCCCATCCTCTTGCTTCCTGTTGCGATTCCAATCAGAATGAACTTTTGGAAGGTCAACTCAGCGACTTGACTCCTTCCATCCATCGTCTCCGGCACGGTCTCAGTCTCGATGGAAAGGCGCTGAAGCCAGCTCAAGTCGATGTTCTTGATGAGAGAATGTTTTCTCCATCCAATGACTCCATCACTCTGCGAATCGTGCTTTCCGAAGGGAGGTACCGGCAGGTCAGAAATGATCACCACTTTTGGATTAGAGCTAAACAAGCTCTGCCGCTGATCCACTCATAGATGTGGTTGTGACACTGGGCATGCAGATAAGGAGGATGTGCGCTCTTGTTGGGATGAAAGTGCTTCGCCTTCATAGGGTGAGAGTAGGAGATCTCTTTCTCGGGAACCTAGAGGAGGGGAAATGGAGAGAGATTGACCGCAGTATATTCCTCAACAAGTAAGAAAGAACTTCCAAAATCAGTTCCAGCGCGGCGGCGCGGCGAGGGCGGCAGCCCGGTTCTGCTCAGCGCGGCTGCGGCCGGCCCGGGGCCGCGGGTGGCAACTTAGTTAGTTAGCATTCTTGAAGTTCAAGTCCGTTTTCAATTCAATCAATCGGATGACGCCGGTCATGTTTGAAGTTTGATAGCGGCCGGTGTGGCGACTCATCAGTGACCGATGAGTAAAGAGACTGGCAAGTCTGCCCGGCGGGCCCGGGGACCGACCATCATGGCATCACTGAGTCACAGAGTCATGTCCGATTCAGTGCCCTGGCAAATCCCGCCGGGCCCGGGGCTCGGATCACCGATCGGATCCGCGGGGCCGGCCCGGGCCGCTGCCTAGAATCGGGCAGCGAGGCAAGCTCGCTTCAGAGGTGAAGGAGCAATGGCGGCTTGAGGAGGAAGAGCAAGGGACTGCGAAACGGGCAGTGAGATGCGAGTTGAGATGGTATGATTGGGACTCGTGAACAGAATCTGATAATGTGATGAAATATTTGCAAAGAAGCATTTTGAAACTAGCTACTAGTTTGAGAACGCCTAATTCTCTGTGATTGATGCTTGTTGGCGTTTTGCATTTATCTACATTTATTTGTTTTGCATTTAGTCAGGGTCTCGCATGCTATCTGACTGATTGTAAGTCACAGATATGTCGTGATATATCATTCTAAACGACGAACCTGTTAACGGGCGCCACCATAACGACGGGGGGCATGGAAAAACCTTCCGATGAGGCCAGAAACTTGCAAGACTCTGCCCATGAAGCGAAGTTACAGTGTTCAGAGTCATCAACAATCACAGGTCACCCAGAAGATGCACCAGAATCAGAGGGAAGTCCTTCCCAGCATGCTGGTCGATCAACGGAGGAAGGAGAGGATTGCAAACATGCTGGCGGCCCAGCAACCCTTGAGAGCAGCCAGCAGCGTGACGTGGGAGATATAACTCTGAGAATAGATGAGATAGAGCCCGGGCCTGATATTCTTGAGGTGAATGATGTCATCGAAGTCTATGTGGTGTGCCTGATGGATGCGGCCAGGCGAACGCTGGCAAGGTTCAGGCCCCGCTGTTTGTCAACTCCGTTGCGTTAGAGGCAAAGAAAAAGCCTTCGCTCTTCGGTGAACCTTCATCGATAGAACCCGACCTGGATCCAGAAAACCTTCAAACAGGGCAGATACTTCAAGTCTTGAGTCTGGGGAAGCTAAGATGGGGTCAAGATCCACAGGTACGGGACAAGCAGTGCATTGTTGACGCTGATTGCAACTGTAGATATTTTGTTGTCCATATTGCAAGCAAGAAGATTTTTCTGCCAACCACTACGAGCATACCCCGCTTTCATGGACAAGTGAGTTTCTGTGCACCTGACTGTGGCATTACTTAGCATGTCCAGGCGCTGGCATACTCTGTGCGATGGGCTGCTGGCTAGGCTGCTGTTTGATTCCTTTCTGCCTCGACAACCTGAAGAACGTGAGGCACACGTGCCCGTCTTGTGGCAGAGTTGTTGGCTTGCGGAGGTCTCAGCCCTACGTGATCATCTGATATCAATCTGACCCGTCTGCCGAGCAGGGCATGCGGGCCGTGTCAGGTTGGAACGCACGTGGTCTGCTGCTGCGGCAGGGATGATTTCTTAGAATATTTGCACGAGCTGGACGTCAACGTTGGGGGACGAGAAGCAGAACCGTGCCAGACGGGTCAAGCGCAAACCCAACTTCGTGTGTAGATTATAACACGGTACTGAATTTACTGCATGCACTCTTTCATCATCGTATCCTGGAGCCTCGGAGTCCGTGGCACCGGCGGCGTCATTAGGCTCGGAGCCTCGGAGCCTGAGAGGGACTGGGTCCGGCGGCACCCGGGCTGAGTGTGACTAGCCTCTGAGCCTACTGATCACTCACTCCGAGCTCGGGCGCCGGGCGCGGCGGCCGCCCGCCGGGCGGCCCGGGCCGGGCGGGGGGGCGCCCAGTCACATAGCGTTGCCTTTCTCAATTGACCTTGTAGCTCTAAAACGTTTCGCGGTGAGGGTGGTAGATTCAAATCCACGCATACCACGCCTCATGTGGGGGCGGGGTGGGTCTTCCGACCGTGTTCCGAATTCAAATCACGAAGAGCCAAGCAGGACTTTTTCAGGGGTAGGGTCTTCTTGAGTACAATTTCTTGGTACCAGTTAGTACAGTCCGAACCATGTGACTTTGGTACTCTTTTGATACCATTCGGGGTTCTCCCCTATGTATTGTACACACCCGGTACAAGTATAACCCCACTCCCATGAAAAATCTTCAAGCATGCTGGTGATTGCTTCATCCCTTGAACCTGGGGCCTGTCCGATCAAATCATATGGGCATACATAAGAAAACTGCAAGCCTGTATGTGGGGTCGGCCTGAACCATTCAATTCAAATGAGAGGGGGTGATGGAGGCGGGACTCCTTCGGATCCGAGAACCCCTCCGTTTGAGTCATTTTGGGTGGTGGGGTGGGTATGGAGCACCCTCAACTACCCACCTTTGAACGAGTTTGAAACTCTACAATAGGGGGTGGGGGTAACCCCCATTTCTCATTCCCCAAGCCCCCTCTCCCTGGACGAGCAAGAAGCGATGAAATGGTGCCTTCCTGACTCACCAGGATGAACCTTGATATTGAGAGACTTCGAATCCAACCCAACTGAGATAGAAATGAGATGAAGATCTCATATCATACCTGTAAGAGATGATCGAGCTTCTTTCTCAACTCTACAGGTTGGGCCAAGGTTTTGAATCATCCATCCTGCAATGGAATATGCACCCTAGGTTCAAACAATCCGCGGGTGTACTTGCAAATATTCTTCGAAGACAAGATGAAATTTTTATGATCAGGTAAGGAATTGATAATCGATACACCATTGAACAGAATCAACTCTGATTGACCCTTTATTCAAATTGCCGTAGGTTGCACGTTGCGCTCAAATGCATGACTGTGATTTGTGAGAAATTTGTATCCAGCTGTACCTTGAGCGACTTTTCTGTCTAGATATGTGTTCTCATGTCATCACTTGCTTTCAATTCTTCTAGTCTTACAGTCAGGATTCATGCACTTCACCTTTCTATGGAGGCAAGTCTTACATGCACTCAACCGTTCAACGATACATGAAGAGACGTTTGCACAGAAGATGACTGTTCCTGCCCGCATAGATGACTGTAGAGAACCGTTGTTGATCATGAATCACTATATCCATGATCATATTTCGATGATTTTTCCGTTTCGCTTCAAATTTTTCCTCGTTCATGATATTTTCACAAGGATTTCGATTGCACAGAAACCTAGTCAGAAATGAAACAATGTGCAGATGACGCCTTTGCGTATCAATAAATGAGACGTTCATCGGATCAATCCTGTCTTGGTGTCGCAATGCTACCGTGCAACTGTAGTGTTCTTGTCGCATGGCTCTACAGAGGAGTGCCTTGTTCAACAGAGCAAGCACTCGATGATTGCAATCGAGTCGCAAACACTGTGAATCAACAAACAGAATTGCACATTCAGGTTATCATATCTTTATTAGAAGAGTTACAATCAGGGTACAAGCACAACCGACCTCCCTGTAATCCTGAAGACGTTCCATCTTTTGCCTGGCGAGGGTGTATCTGCGTTAACCAAGAAGCATGTGACATGTGGCCACATCTTGAATGCTCTACGGTCAGGAATATCAGCATCTTCAAAACGGCTCTCTTGTTTGCTGTGACATCAACTGCTTGGTAGCGGTTCATCCGATGAACAGAATCTGATGCAAGTTCACACCAGTAATATTTACATGATGCATCAGTCAGTGTGATGAAATTGGTGATTTGCAAAATGTTTCATCGTTCCAACACATCCTTAAGAATTGGATGAAGAATCCTTCACGAACCACGGGACTTACTTGTCATCATTCGATTGTACTGAGGATCATCTTTGTTTCAAGCATCAACCTGCTCCGACCGTGACTGCTAAAATGCGCTGTAGATGTTCATTTAGAACTTTCTGTTGAGCTTTTCCTTCAGTTTTGCATGTTCTTCCATGCAGTGAGATGACCATGTCAATATTTTGCCTAGACCTGATCGACTCCCGAGTCCTGAACTTATCTTTGTTTGTGCCCATTTCATGTCACAACCTTTTCACATCGGGACAGTTCTGCGATGTGTCGAAAACCCCTTCGTATGCAGCCATTGTCTCGAGAGTTTTGTATGCTGGGCGGCTTACTGGTACGTCTACGTACTCCTGGATACCGGTTTGTAATATTGGTTGGGCACTTGCCAAAGTCTTCACCCGTTCATCAATCTCATACAAGTTGCCAAAGGCTGCAAATCATTCCAACCTGCATCAAGAACACGTCATTTGGATCTCTTCCCGTGATAATTTCGATGAAAAAAAAAGAGATAAATGCTCACCTGACTTGTCTTGCTCTGTCAAACGCTGCACATCCTCATATCTGTACGGCTTCGCAGAGTTCACAGTGGCGGGAAACTTTCAACATTGATATTTTTATTTTGATATTTGATATCGTATTGGCGATGCATCATGATTGAGCTTCGGAGGGCCAGCCACGCCTGTGAAGGCCATAATGGCCATCAAAGCTGACTTGCGATGCCGGGGAGCGTGACACACAAAGATTTCAGGCCGGAGGAGCGTGACACACAAAGATTTCAGGCCGAACATCCCCTCAATTTTCAAGTTGTTCCATGTAGGTTGGACTTGCTCCAAACTATATGGAACAACTTGAAACTTGGAGGAGCGTGACACACAAAGATTTCAGGCCGGAGGAGCGTGACACACAAAGATTTCAGGCCGAACACCCCCTCAATTTTCAAGTTGTTCCATGTAGGTTGGACTTGCTCCAAACTATATGGAACAACTTGAAACTTGGAGGAGCGTGACACACAAAGATTTCAGGCCGGAGGAGCGTGACACACAAAGATTTCAGGCCGAACATCCCCTCAATTTTCAAGTTGTTCCATGTAGGTTGGACTTGCTCCAAACTATATGGAACAACTTGAAACTTGGAGGAGCGTGACACACAAAGATTTCAGGCCGAACACCCCCTCAATTTTCACGTTGTTCCATGTAGGTTGGACTTGCTTGCGTGACACACAAAGATTTCAGGCCGAACAACCCCTCAATTTTCAAGTTGTTCCAAATATTTTTTGTGGCCCTGAATCATTTCGGGCGCACTGAGTGTTCCAAGTTCCGGCATGCCATGAGTCAGCGCCGCCCGGGGCTCAGGGCGCGGCAATGCCAGGCAGGCCAGCCTCCGAGTCGGACGCGGGCTCCGAGCCTCCGAGTCGAGTCCGGCGCGGCCGCAGCCCGGCGCGTGACACGGTCACCGTCGGCACTGCCGACTCTTAATGCCGGGATCAGCATGCCAGCCATGCCGCACTGCAGTGCGGCCAGTCCGATCAGATAGCCCCGCTGCCATCAGTTATGATTGAACACTGAAAACTCAAGGTCCGACGGCCGCGGCCGGGCGAGCCGGACTCTCCGGCGGACCGGTCCCAGGCTTCAAGGCTACCGGTGAGTCAACCGTTGAACGGTTGAACGGTCACTGACCCGGGTGAGAGTCAAGTTCCGAGCCAGGCGGCGGCCCCACGCGGCGGCAATGCCCGGCGGTACCGGGCAGTGGGCCGTCCGTGTGATGAACAGCGGCGGCGTTGCAATGATGCTTGAGTTTCATATTCTAGCATACCACTGTGACAGTCGGGAGTCACGTCTCATGTGCAGACGGTGCTGCCTCAATTCTCAGTGGTTTCGTGTCACAGTGTGCATTAAACTCGGTCTTGAGCAAGAACTGTCTTATACATTATACATTTATTATACATCGAGACGTGAAATTGAATAACTTCCTCGGAGGCTCTACGACAGAAGGAATAAGAAGTACTTGCTTGTGGACTTTGGGCTGGCATAGAAACAAATGCATTCATCAGGCCGCAGCATCGGCAACATCTTGCCCTGTGAGGTTTCTACGGCCAGCTCTCGCTCCTCGCGGAATCAAAAGGAGCAGGAGAAACTAGAGATGGCGCAGCAGATGGCGAAGAGGCGGATCATGTTGGGCGTCAGCAAGACGAACGCATCGGTGACAGTGAGGAACTCAGGGGTCAAATTCGAACGTCCAGTCAACCGCGCGGGAACTCGGGGATACCGAGCGCCCGAAGTGCTCATGGGCATGCAGTGCCAGACCACAGCAGTGGACGTGTGGGCTGCTGGGGTAGTACTGCTTACCCTGCTGTGCCGCACGACACAGTTCCAATGGTTCCAGCATAACGACATAGTCACGGCAACGATGGAGATCTCTTTGTGTACCTTGGAAGTGCGCTTGTCTGACTGTCTGAGCAGCTTGCGCATGTACATCAAGAGCATGGATGCTGTGTGGAAGCACAACTATGGGTATACGGGTCAGTACAGAGATAAGATCAGAGATGTTATCGAAGATTTCAAGCTCGACGTTAAGGTAAAATTGTTGTCGTCGGCGTTGTTGTATCAAGAGGATGAGGATGAGGGTGATATGGAGGAGGGAGGCCTGAGGTTGCTAACTTGATGTCATTCAGATTCCACCATTGGAACTGCATCTCAGCTATGCCCGCGGTTTCAAGCAAACATGGCGGACCTTGTCAAGCTCCCTGGGCGCGCATGCGGGATGCAAGGACTGGCTGGAGGTGGATGAGAAACATGCGATCTGGGACTTCCTCAACTGCTGCCTCGACATCGATCCCCGCACGAGGATTACGGCACTGGAGGCTCTGAAGCATCCCTTCCTCATTAGTGCTGTCAAGTAAACCGTCTCTACCCGTAGCTTTCTCCTTCCTCTCCTCTCATGTCCTCCTCGCCCTCCTGCCTTCCTCGCTAGTGGTCTTGAGTAAACAGTCTCTCCTCCGGCATCTCCTCTCGCAGCGATCAGGCATATCAACTAGCCTGGCCTCCCAGGCGTCCATTTCCCTTCCAACCCCTCCCCTCTCCTTCCCCCAGCCTCTCAAACTCCTCACCTCCTCACAAATGACACCGCCATATTACAATAGGTTGGGAGAAGCCTCAAAAAACGCAATCATGGCAAAGCAACAGGAAGTCTCTTGAAATATGTTTCATATTCAACCGACGAAGCATTCAGGTAAAGGAAGCTAGGGCGTCAACACAACAAGGAGAATCGAATTTCCTTTATGTCTTCGAAGGTTGCTTCTCTGATCGGTTCCCTTCATGTTTCCCTTCTTCTGGAAGTGAATAACCAGCACCTATAGCTGATGAGTGCTTTGGTACGCAAGTGCAAATTTCGATGCATACCTTTCACATTCAACCTACTATAGGTGTGATTCTCAGCCAAGAATTGAGCTGTTTGATCTCAGTACTTGCCTGGCACTTTCAGGAGTTAACATTGAGGGGCCATGGTCCTTGACTGCGCTCAGCAGCTGAGCAAACAGTCCCTGAGTACATTGGGAGTAGTGGGATAGGGAAGAGACCGGGGCAAGTGTGAGGTCGTTTACAAGTGTTTTAGATTGATACGAGAAGTTTGCACTACCCCCTACCCCTCAACACGGGCTGGAGGCCGTTGGAAAGATTCAAATCATTTGAATACCTACCCCGAGCCACCTCATGATTATTTAGTCAACTATACACGCCTATTCATATCAAATAGAGGAAGGTTTTGCTCAACATTGCCCTTCTCGTCTTGGATGGCCTGGCAACGAAAAAGGTACATAAATTGACGGAGCAAACATTTTTAGCTCAATTTTCTCTTGCCGCTTTAATTTGACTAAAACTACTATGAGAACCACCCTGGTTGACTGATCCGACAAGGATACGGAACGGCAACGCTATGCACCCGGTGACCCGCCTCCGGGAGTCACCGGGTCTCGGGCGCGGCCGGGCGCCAGCCTCACTGCCGCACGGTGGCCGCCCGGCAGCGGCTGAGCCCGGCCGCCGTGACTGCAGTGCGGCCGCCAACCGGCGCCCGAACTTCACGGTCCGCCGCCGATGATCGTCGCTGCTCGCCGCCACTGCCACGCCGGGCCCGGCCGGGTGGCGGCGAGCGGAGTCCCGGCCGGGCCCGGCCGCGCCCAGGACTCCGTGACCGTGCCTCCCGGAGGCGGCGGAGTTATCAGCACCGACTGATTTTTAACTTAACTTTGAGTACTAAAGACCGACGGTGTGACGGGACCGACCGTCCCGACAACCCGGCCGGGCGGGCCGGGCGCTGAGGGGAACGTCCCGGCCCCTGGGCAAAGCCGGAGCAAACAGCTAGTCTGAGTCGATGTCACCATTTTACAGACAGTGACCTGTTTACAACGCGCATCACTCTGCTTTGCTGACTTTTTGAGGGGTAAAGAAAGGAAATGATGACTGTAAGCATCATGGGTTAGCACCTACGAAGCTTTTCAAAGATTTCAAACTAGAACTGTTCGTCGAAGAGTGACATGAGATTGGAAAATTTACCACACATTCCCCTGTAGTAATTTACACAATACCTTACGTTAGTCTCTGCCGACCTCCCATCCTCACCTTCCTCCTCCTTCCTCCCTCACTACACACTAAAGTCAAAATGTGCAACCTGGTACACGGAGAGAGCTCTGAGAACAGGGCAAGCACTGTGAGCGCTGGCTGTCGGTCTTCTGAGCGGCACATGAGCAATGAAGGAGAAAATCTAGCCGGGTATGATAGTAAGAATATTATGAGCGACAAGAATGAGTCTTTGTGCACCGATGACAAAGTTAAGCCACGATTCTTCCATTTCTTTGAACATTCGCTGTATAATATACATCAGGAGAAGACTATCGATCGGTTTGGGAATCTTTCGGAAAAAACCTCTTATTCATTCTTCGTGTCGGCTGGGAAGGCAACCACGCCAGTTATTGATAGACTTGGGAATTTCGTTGCACAGTGAATTTCATTTAGAACATGGATTCTTTTTTTTCTGCCTTCACGCATGGAATTTATGACTTCCCCTTTTATGTAAATTAGCATGTTTCACGGAATAAACTATTGAATGAGATCCCAAAAGCATTTTCCCTCTGCAAACAGACACGTTCCTGCTCAGAGACGAAAGACTATAAAGTACTGACGACTCGAAGAAAGTCAGGACCAGAAGAGCATCCGTCCGTCATTGGCTCTATGTAGAGAAAGTTACTCGGCCTGTCGAAAGCGTCACAAAAGTCTCGATCGAGTGTACATACAAAGAAAAGATACCTCGTTCATCTGAATTGGAATTCTCTTCAGGATGTTGAAAGACAGAGATTCACGCTCTCTTCTTATCTTCTTAAGGCAAATTCAGCATGCATAAGGCGTCGTGACCCGCCACAGGGCGTGGACCCTCCCTAAACCCCCTTGATCTCATCAAGACATATCGACGCCGGGCTCCCATCACCTGCAGTGTCAGCCCCCGTCCTCTGAGTTCCAGTCTTTGAGTTTGAGCTCTTCGTTCCACATGTTGAGCTCCTGACCCCAGGCTTCCTCCATCAAGCCGCTCAGCCCGCTGTGATGGCTGGCCCGAGGAACAGCACAATCAGGGCAGGGAGCGTTCCCACCATCATGACACGTCTCTGGGAGGTGATGTCTCGAGGACGTCTCTTCCATCATCTCTCTCTCCACAGCGTCCGCCTCTGAGACGAGTGCGCTGACATCGATGCAATCCTGAGCCTCCTCAACTTCTGCTGTCCCATCTTTCCGTTCCTTCTCTCCTCCATTATCCTCTGTTGGCATGCGGCCCTGACTGAAACCCGAGACGTGAGCTCCTGCATTCCCTGGCGACTTGTCACAACCAGTCCATTGGTGAGCAGTGGCCGTTATCTCCTCCTCATTCCACAGCTTCATCTCCTCCTCAAGTCCGCCCATCAGGATCTCACAGTTGGAGTCAAGACCTGCACAGCTCATAAGGCAAGAAAGCCTCGATGCTGAGAAGCCTCACCATCTTCAGGAGGCAAGTGCCTGATCGCTGACGGAAAATTCTCCTTATCTGTATCTGTGCATTTGCCAGACCCAGGACATCCCCCCCTTAACCGATCAAAAGCATACCGTTCAGGAAGCTCCCTTGTGGTGAACCTGAATAGAGCGCTGTATGTTGTGTATGTTGTTACAAATTCTCCTCCTGCTCCTGCTCCTCGTACGGCTGCTTCTCCCCCTCCTCCTCCTCCCCCTCCTCCTCCTCCTCCAGCATCTCTTCTTCCTCTCGAGCTCGCCGCTACCAACAAGATCAGAAGCGACTGTGCCATTTTCATCGCTCTGTTTCATTGAGGCGAGCCTGCTGGTGTAAATGAGTAAACTTTCGCCTCTCCCGCCTCCCCGGTCACCATGGCGAGCCACCTGCCGGGCATGTCGGGGAAGCGAAGTAAGACGCGCGCGTGCACGTGGAGGGGGGGGGAGGGGGAATGGGGAGGAGGAGGAGGAGGAGAAGTTATATTGGCAGGAGGACGATTGGATTGTTTAGAAGATGGGGGATAGCATGCGAGGGCGTTTGAGAAAAAGTAGCTGACAGAGGGGAGGAAGAGGATGGGTTGAGAAGATAGGGGGATGAGATGGGAGCAGATGGTTTTGTATTTCCACTGATGAAACTCACATCTATGCAGGTTTCAAGAGATGGGACGACATCGAGGAACGAATGCTAGCGGAGGCGGTGAAGAACTTTGGGGTGAAGGTGAGGAGCCCACAGACTGCGAATTGGATTTACGATCCGATGTGATCATGAAGTGCGGCGATGGTTGTTGCAATGAGATATGTCGGATGTGTATGTGATGGTGATTGTGTCTCTGCTGTGCTTTCTGATGAAAAGCAATTCTTTGTTGAGGTGCTAAAGGTTCTCAACATGACGTTTGAACTTGCTACCATGATAGGGCTGGGAAAGGGTAGCGCAGGAAATGAAGACAGACAGGACATCGAAGCAGCTGTACGATCACTGGTGTGAACGATCCAAGGCAAGATGCTCCGACACAGTTGCCATGGCTTGCCTTGTGTCTCACCTGCCTACAGGAGTGCCTGGAGCTTCTTGAGAAACTCGGACCGGCCCCCCGGTACCACAGCTCTCTCACCTTTGCTGTTAGCATGACGGTCTGTGTGCGAACTCAGTGGATACCCGACAGCGATTGCTCGCAGAGAAGCGTGAGGGAGGAAGGCCTTAGACGGCTGCTGCTGTGACGCTACATGGCAGGGAGTTGAAGAAGAATCAACTCAAGAAGTCCACTAAACCATCGAGCGACGGCCTGACCCGAATTCCTTCTATTCGCTATCGCTACCATCCCTTTCAGGTTCCCATGCTGCCGTCTTGCTCGTGCTCCTGATCCTCTCCCACCAGAGGGACGACCGTCTTCGCCAAGTCTGCGAGGAGGCAGACTTCGAGAGGAAGAGAGAAGCCGTCGGGAGGTGTTGTCGTCGAGCAGAAGCCTCTGCTCGTGTTGACAAGGATGCAGATACCTGACGCATGTGAATCTTCTTGAGGAGGTCCTCAGCCCCGCAAGACCAGATGGAATGAACGACGAAGATGCAATGAAGGACGGTAGGAGACGAGGCGATGGCGTTCTTGTGCTGACAGTCGTGCAGACGAGGACAAGCTCGTGAAGACAAAGATGGAGGGGGGCAAGCTTATGGTGTACGACGAGCAGACGCTCAAGGTTGGAACTGCAGCTTTCCTCTTCCATTTGTTTGATAGCAGCTTTCAAGGCGCAAGAGGCAGTGACCAGTGGATTGTTGGACATCTTGAAGCTAGCAGAGTCGATGTATGCCTCCCACAACAACCTGCTCGACTTGCCCAGCTCCTCTCTCCTCCACAAGATCTGTCTTTCGTTTCTCCTTCCCTTCTTCTCCTCCTATTCACCGCTGCTCCTAAACTTCTCCCCCACTCTTCCAGCTTCAGATCCTTCTGTGACTTCTTGCAGGGGAACGTTGGACGAAGAGCCCAAGGGAATCAAAAGGGAAGAAGTGAAATCGACGGGCGATGAGAACGGGGGCAGCATGGGATGGGAGGGTAAGGGAAAAGTAGATACCTGACGCTAGTCAGTTTGACCATGCCATAGACTCCCCGTCGAAGCTGTTTGTGCCTGGAGAGTTGAGAAAGTTGAGCCAGGAGGAGGTGAGGACAAATGCCCTTCTTTCTATGACAAGTAATGTTGTCTTGCCAAGGTGGCGCAGGATTTCTTCAACACGACGAGTATGATATCACGATACGAATGGAAGACGATTGGGTTATGAAGGCGCGAATAAGAAGAATGTCCATCAAGGTGTAAGACGCTACTAAGAAGAATAAACAACGAGAGGAAGAGCCTTGGCGAATTATGAACAGACGCTGGTAAACAAGGAAGAAAGAAGGCAAGACAGGCCCCTTGGTCTTCTTTCATTCTCGTTACACCTCGAAGTGGTGGGGATCGAGAAGCCTCTTGCCGTACTCCCCCAGCGCCGTCACTCCCCTCACCTCGTGCTCCAACAGAGGCATCTTGACCACGTGAAAGTCTTCGTAGAGTTCCGCGATCTGCTCTAATGTCATAATTCCTACCCGACTCTTGCACACCTTCCCTTCCTCCCTCTCCTCCTCCTCCCTCTTCTTCTCCCCCTCCTCCTCCTCCCGTCCTCCTCAGCCCTCGTCCTCGTCCTCAGCCCTCGTACTATTCCTCGTCCTCCTCTACGTCGGCTCACTTTCTTCTCCCTTCATCATTTTTCATCCTCTTCTGCTCCACCACACCAAAAACGAGACCACGGCGACCAGGGTCACCTCCATCTCCTCTACCTCCTTCACCCTCTTCCTTCCCAAGTTCCCCTCCCTTGCTCGCTATCGTCACCTGGTCGAGATACTTCTTCTGCATTTGCATCCTGCTGTCGATCTGTGCCAGGCAGACAGTCTTCACTGCCTCCTCCGAGATGCCGTGCTGCTCCGCAAGCTCCCTCCTCCTCGCAGGGCTCAGCAGCTGGACGAGCTGGTTGACTATGATGACCCTCGTGTCCATTCCTGGCGTCACATTTTCAACAAGGCGAGAGAGAGGGGGAAATGAGTTAGGTAACAGGAGGGATAGAGGAGGGCAGACAGGCTGGGGTGAAGAAGGAACGTGGAGAATGGTAGGGGAGGGAGAGAGGGTGGAATAGCATTGCAGAGAGTTGAAAGGGCACCTTGTTTGGCAAGTTCTTGTACGAGCCTCTCGGTCTCGTAGAGGGAGAGAAATTCTGCGATGCAAACACAGACAAACGTTGTTTTCTCTGGATCTTTGAATTGCACGTTGACCTCCTACAAGATGCAAGAATGAACGAAACGGAAGGAGACAAGGAGAGGAATCGAGATTGAGGGGAGGGCGGGGAAGGGACGTGAAGGGAGCAAGGGCAGGGATAGCGTATCAATGGAGAGGAGATCAGTCGGCTTGAAAGACCTCAATGAGCTGCTTCATGCTCTCTAGCCTGCTGAACATGTCTTCATCGGACCCCATGCTCGCTCCCATCATTCCCTGCATTGCAGCAAACATTCCGCCAAACTGAGCCTTCATCGTCACCAGCTTCGATAACGCTTTCTCCATGAGCTGAATAATCATCAGACAAGGCAGCGCCTTCGATCGTTGTGATTGCTTTCTCAAGCAACTCTTCCCCCTTCCCTCCCTCCCGTCCCCGCCCCCCCCCCCATCCCACGCACACGCATGCCCCTCCCATCCCCTGCTCTACTCGCTCTCTTATACTCCGACTATCTCCAGCATCGTCAGCGTCTGTCTCCGCTAACACATACAGCAGCGCTCCCATTGAGCATCGGAATATCTCACCGTGGGGAAGGACAGCAATCGGAGGGTGTGCCCTGTAGGAGCTGTATCGAAGACGATACAATCGTATTCCTGACGCGACTTTGTCATCGACCATGGTTGTCTCCATGAGCACCACGCACAAGGGAGTGAACTTGCCGCAACAGCTCTCCGAAGCTGATGGCCTCGTCGATCCCCTGAGGCGGTGCATCATCTCAATCACTGCAAGAGCAGGAGGGGAAGGAGTACCGGGATGCTGGTTGAGAGACTTGACAAGAGGCCACTCGACTGAGCTCCCATCCCAAGAACGTCTCCTGCCGAGAATCATCCGCAAAGTGCGATGACGTCACAGGAGCCTAACCCTCAGCAGCCTCGAAGGAGGGATCAATCTCCATCGCGTACAGGTTGTCGAACCCATTGATCTGATCTCAACCTCATCCAAGAGTTGTCATCAAGAGCTTTCAAGGCACCAAGGTCGGAGTCTTTGTCAGCTTCTGGTCAAAAGCGTCTGACAAGTTGTGCGCAGGGTCCGTGGAAATAACCAGCACAGACCGTCTGCGTGAGAAACTGATCACAGGACGACGATGTGGCTTGAGCTGATCTCTTACCTGACACGTGCAAGCAAGATTGCCAAAGAGCTCGAGCTCGTTGTTTTGCCCACTCCACCCTTGAGACATCCTTAGCTACGTTGAGGACAAGTCACAGGAGTCAACCTTGCCGCCCACGAAGATCCAGCGAAGACTTTTCTGATCGAGGAGAGTCTTTTAACATCGTCAGTTCCCCGCAATCACTTCCCATGGCGCCCGGCCGCGATCTAGCCACCACACTCATCTGATCCTCTGATCTCTTTGACACTGCCGGTCTCACATCCGGAACCATCTATAAAATGCAGCAACCCCTTTCGTCTTCACATCCTCCCCCAAATCCCCTTCTCTCTCCCTCTCTTCAGGAATCTCATACTGCAGTCCTCACACATAAGAAGTACGCGTGGCTCTCTCTCATCGTCACACCACTAATGGCATAAGAGAGTTTGCACTATCGCAACTCTCGTTGAGGCAGCCTTCTTCTTATTCTTACTGCCCTTGGCTGTCATGATCATGTTTGGAACGCTGCCCGAGTCCAGATCGATCTTTGAAACACTCGATCTCGCACGAATCTGAAGACTTCCTATCTCTGATCCTTCCTTCCTCCCGTTCTGCTCTCGTTCACTCCCCCGATCCCCTGCCCTTTGTCGAAGAAGAACAGGTCCTCTCCAGGCTTTCTGCTTCCACTCCTCCTCCTCCTCCTCCTCCTCCTCCTCCTCCTCCTCCTCCTCCTCCTCCTCCTCCTCCTCCTCCTCCTCCTCCTCCTCCTCATGTGCATTCATCCTATCCCGAACCACATCCTCTTGCTGTTCCTATGCCTCTCGTCCTCCTCCTCACTGCCTCTGATCATCGTTCTTGCCTGCACGGTTGGTTCGTACTCCGCCATCGATCTCTTCCGATGTCGGGGGCACAGGCAACAGACAGACAGGTCGTGAGTGCGGTACCAAGGTGGGGTAGAAAACTATGTCTAATGTAGGGGTCCTGTAATTAGTTTCGGCCCTTGCAGGAGTAGGTGGGGTGGTTGCTCCTAGAGTTCGTTGGAAATGGACAACGTAAGTGTTTGATGGAACCGGCATGTATGCGGGTTGGGGGCAGGCAGGAAGGGGGAAGGAGGTGGAGGTGAGGTGAGGTGAGGTGAGGTGAGGTGAGGTGAGGTGAGGTGAGGTGAGGTGAGGTGAGGTGAGGTGAGGTGAGGTGAGGTGAGGTGAGGACAAAGGGGAGGACAAAGGGGAGGACAAACGGGGAGGACAAAAGGGGAGGACAAAAGGGGTGGATAGATTGATGGACTGATAGAGAGGCCAGGAAATGTGGAGCAGAGATCAAGTAGATCAAATGAGTTTTGCAAAGTGACGAAGTTTCTTCAAGGCGAAGGCCGTCGATGGCGAGCTCGGGGCAGTGCCTTTCACGAAGGAGAGATTGCTCGGGAAACACGTCAAGCCTCGGATAGGACAACTAGTCAAGATGTCCGAGCAAGGGCTGCAAAGAAGAAGAGATGCGGGTAGGGCCGATCCAAGCAGAGGAGGAATCGGAACTGTGGTCCGTGTGAATGCAAATTGGACTTGCGGTGAGATCTTGCGGAGGAGCGACCTCGTTTTCTCATGACGATAGTTCAGATGTTAGATGGCATCTGACCAATCAAGTACGTGAAGGATATTCTACGGGAACTGTCAACGCTGGTGGGCACACGCGAGCGTTTCACTTGGCCCTTATTGATTCCGATACCATATTGCCGCCATCGCAACGTGACCGCAGCGCGAACAATGCTTTGGAGAGTCAACGGGAGAAGTTTCACTTGCCAATGGACCATCAGGAGGTGATGAATTGATTGGTTTTCTGTGTAGCCAATAATCTCTTTGCTTGGTTTTCTGTGTAGCCAATAATCTCTTTGCTTCTCTTTGTTATGATATTTCTGCAAATAGTCGATAATGTAAACAGGAATTTTTTGTTGTGAATACAGAAATTATGAGCATACACTCTAGTTATGAGAAGCTGTCGCAGATGCTATCGGAAGTCATGGAGAGTTCGAGTGAGCCTTCCCCGATTATTTACAGAAAGGAGAGCAGTCTAGATCACCAGACCTCGCACTGCCTGTTTTCTTATGCCCAAACCTGATCAATGTGAGAAGACGATCACACACTGGATCATTACCTTCTAGCCTTCATGTCTGCGAGGGCCAGCTGAGTGTCACTCACCTCGCCAGCGTGCAACCTTTGATCAACAATAATACCTACAGAGATGATTTCAACACACTTGATTGGATTCAGGAACAATCGCTCACGATTCATGATTTCTTGCATTGGCATGACTTTCGCCATGGGATCAGATGTCAAAATATTGAACATGCTGTAAAGCTCAAGTAAGATATTCACGGTGTCAAAAGAGAAACCTTGAACGCATTTTCTTGCTATTTGTCGCTAAAGCATCGTGATTCCTAGATTCTCATTTGTGTCTCTCCTCTCCTCTCACCGTTCCCCTCAAATCTTATGCTTTCTCGCTTTGCCTTAGCTTCTATCAATCCATCCCCTACCCATCCATATCCTATCAACCCATCTTCCACCGATCCATCCCCTATCCATTTGTCGCCAAGTTTCCTATCAACCAATCTTCTATCCATCCCCTAGCAACCCATCTTCTCATTTCCTTTCGATCCATCCTCAATCTATCCATCTTCTATCAACTCATCCTCTATCCATCTACCTTCTATCAATTTAACTCCAATCTATCCATCTTCTACCAACTCATCCTCTATCTTCGTCTTCTCTGTAAAATAATCTCACATTTCCCTGCCAATCAGTTTCTTCCTTCCCTGCCATTAGCAGCAGGATTTCTAATTCCGGTTCGTTGCTCACTTTCAGTCGGTCATCGGAGGGCCCGCCCGGCGGCCGGAGTCCGATCCGGCCGCGGGCCCGGCCGGGCCGCGGGCCGCGGGCCGCGGGCGGCCCAGTGGCACTCGGAACTTAGTTCCGCGGCGTGGCACTGCGGCAAACGGCCGAGCACTGAGGGGCCGCGCCGCGGGCCGGGGGCCGTTCTGCACATGATGAGGGTCACACGTCACCGGGGCGTGCGGCAGTGACGGCCGGCCGGGGGCACGGGGCCGCCGCAGTAGGGCGCGAGTCGTCCGCCGTGGCCCACTGGTGGCAGTGCGGCCCGCGGCCCGGCGTGTCACCGGCGGCGGCCGCCCGGCAGTGCCACGCCGGGTGACGGTGCTGAGCATCGGAGTCACAACCCGGCCGGCGGCCCGGCCGGGGCGGACGGAGCCTGTTCGGCGGCCCGTTAGCCGCCCCCCGTCGGGTCCGCCGGCACTGGACGCGGCAGCCGCGGCAGCCGCGGGCCGGCAGTGCGCCGGCCAGTGACGGTTGCACTGAGACCCCGGCGAGTTGCAATGTAACTGCCGCTACCGTATCATCACTCGGAGGCCTTGCTGAAAAACAACCCAAACGCATCGATTCGCTGTACCACCCACCCATCGATCATTACAGGATCTTCCAACTAGTACCCACTTTTCTAATGAGATTTGCACCGGTGTTTGAGGACCCGTACCTCGTGATTCCTGACCGGACCCGGTTATATGGTGTGGGAATGGCCGCTAGTCACTGGGGGATTTGGGCTGAGATGAAGGGGCAGAGGAAGGAGAGAAGTGAGCAGGAGAGGAGAGATTCAACTCTCAGACCATGGCCTCAGAGATAGTCGAGCTGTTCTGGCATTGATGTTTCTCGAAGAGCGTGCAGTGAGGGTCATTAGATACTCGTCGATAGGTACGGGTCGAGAATGATAGTTTGGTTACGTCAAGAAACAAACACGTGAAATGGTCTCTTCCTTGGTTTCGTTTATCATATATTGCTTGAAATGTTGAATGCCATGAAATGTGCTTGTTTTCTTAGATTTCTCGTCAACGTATGAGAACAACATGTGTTTTCGTTGGTTTCTAGACGTGACCAATGTCTCAGGCTCGATACCTCCTTGACCTGCTAAGGTCGTAAGAATGAAGTTTTCCTCCGCATTCTCGATTGTTGCTACAATCACTTTGTTGTTCTGCTCACCGAGCGACTCGGTACTGTTATCCTCTCTTAGGATCGATCGCTATGTTCCAACCAAGGACATCACTGGAGGAAGGAGCCTCCTTGAATCCGCTCTGCCGGGACCCAACCACCCATCTCAGAATCAGCTGAGACTGAGAGGAGGAGGGAGGCAGCTAAAGATTGCTCTCTGTGCATGGGTAAGGGCAAGCTCTTCGCTCTTGACTTCAGGAAGTGACATGAACTTTGATTCCAGGAATCTCTACATACCATCGCTGGTGTGGAATCGACCTCGTCCTTGTGTTGTGAGCTAACAGCTGTTGGAAAGTCGGAGGAGTCGCGCCGCACGTCACAGAGCTTGCAGCAGCTCTTGCTCGCAGAGGACACGAGGTGATCTTGAGTGGTATCTGCTTATCAGAGTCTGTCTGTGACTGAGCGACCAGGTGCATCTTTTTGCTCGGGCCAGCGGGTAGGGGAGAAGCTTGAAGGTTGGGAGGATGGATGATGGAGAGTTGGCAGGGCTGGAGAGAGCTACGAGATTGTTCATGATGTCCACATACACAGAGTGCCGATCGAGCTCGACGAGGTGAGATTGAATGGTTTTTCAAGAGGAGTTGAAACACGAAGCGCAGGACTTTGTTTCCGAGTGCAACAACATGTGCAACTCGTTTGTCTGGTTCATCAGAGAGTCGGAAAATTTCATGCAGGTCCATCAAAGAGTTCGGTGAGGTAGAATGTGTTTGACGTGCCAACAGGCTCACTTCGATATCATTCATGCTCACGACTGGCTCGCTGCCAAGACAATCGTGCAGGTAAGAGAGAGATTGCTACATGACAATGAGCATCGTGAATGTAAGAGGAGATAAAGATAGTGGCGTGACAGGAAGTGGTCAAGAAAGAGACAAAGGTAGATGTAGATGTAGGGAAAGACATCAAGGTAGACTATGAATGTCATAGAAGCAACGAAGGATTTTTATGATTGCGATGGCGATGTATTTGACAAATGTATCAGTTACAGAAGATTGGAAGGAAAACAATCTTAACCTGCCACTCGACAGAGTTTGGACGATGCGGTTGTTTGGAGTGTTTTGATTTTGTGATTTCAACACTGAGCGACAAGCAGGAAACACTCACTTCGATGGACAAGCAGCTCGGATCAGAGCGATCGAGCAAGAAGGGTGAGATGGGGAGAGAATGGAAGAAAGGGGGAAAGCGAAGCAAGTCGAAAGGGACAGCAGACGAGGAAGGGAGGGGGGAGGAGATGAAGGATGTTACAGTTGCGACCATGCGGATCGCGTCATCGCAGTGTCTGGTCGACTCTGTGATGAAGTAAAGTCCTTATATCACTGCGACAACAAGCTGAGGATGGTGAGATCAATCTGCCGCCTCTGAAGGCGACGTGCTTCCGTTCTTGTACTGAAATGTCTCCAGGCGTACAACGGAATTCAATTGCACAACTTCGATGGGATGATTGATTGTGCAGACGTCAAGGGGAGGTAAGAATTCGTGGAGACTTGAAGTAGTTTGCGGAGAATTCTAAGACTAAACTATGTCAGGTATGGCATTGGAGCCTTTCAGCCGACGATTCTGTTTGTTGGTCGACTTGTCGTTCAGAAGGTGAAATCACTTGAGAGAGACAGAGAATTCGTGGTGGCCGTGGCTGTTGTTTGGTTGTGCTGGCGATAGAGTAGTAGCAGTAGTAGTAGGAGGAGGAGGAGGAGGAGATTGTGGTGGAGGGCGAGGGTGAAGACAAGGAAGGGGTGGAGGTGGAGACGATGGGGCGAGATGAATGATACTGTGGAGGGGTTGAAGGCAAGAAAGAGATGGTTGCTCGAGTTTGCGATGCCAATATTCTCTAGCCTGATTTCTTCTCAACAGGGGCCAGATGTCTTGCTTGAGGCCATCCCAGATATTCTATCGTGCAGAAACGGTCATCACAAGAACCTCTCTCCTCGCTTGTGTTTTTCTCGCCTCCTCTCCTTTCATCATTCAATGTTCTCATTTTCAGATGTTGTTCTCATCATCATCATCATCATCATCATCTTTATCATGGCAATGTGCTCTGATGTGATAATGAATCATGATCTTATCTCTCAATCATGATTATCTTCATCGTCTTTCTCAACTTGTTCTCCTGTTATGGACATCTTCTCTCTCTCCTCACCGTGCCATCAGATGCTGTCGTCATCTTCGTTGGAGACGGTCACATGCGGCCGGATCTGGAGAACAGGCAGCAGAATCGTTGGGATTCATACACTTCCTCCTCACAAATTTGAGCAGGGCACGAGAATTGAACGTTGGCCATGCAGTCCGCTTCCTTGGTACCATGTCAGGAACTCCTTTGAAGGTTTGAGAATACTCCCCACCTTTTTCTTCTTTCCCGTTTGTCTTCTTGCTCGTCCCTCAATGATTGTTCCCCACTTCTTTGTTTTGTCGCACCTCCTTCCAACTTCTCTTACCACACTTGCACTTCCTTGCAGCTTGTTCAATGCTGTTCCTTTTGTCTTTTTGGTTTCCACAACTCTCGTTGATTTCTCATCCTATCTGTTTCTTTGCAGGATCTTCTCAAAGCTACAGACATGGTTTGCGTGCCTTCTCGCAATGAACCCTTTGGCATCGTCGTCCTTGAGGTTCTTCTCGCTCTAGCTCTTGCTGTCTCCATTCCTTCCTTTGTGTCCTCCACTTTGTCTACTGCTCGTCTTCTCTCTTTTCATCTTCTCCTCCGTTGGCTCGTTCACTCTAGCCCTCCTCCTCCTCCCTTGGTTTGTCCACTCTTGCTCCGACTAGTTCTCTCTCGACCAGGCCTGGGCTTGCGGCAAGCCAGTGGTTGTTACGCAGAGTGGAGGGCCGGGAGAGTTTGTCAGGTGAGGTCACGTGATTACGGGCAGGCTGTTGCTGAAGAACATGACAGGCACGGGGAGGATGGGTACCACGTGTACAACGAGGTGAGCGGAGAGGAGGCTGGAAGCTGCTCCTGCTCTGCCCTGATCCTGCTGCAGCCCAACAGTGTGGCCTGGGGGGTGAAGGAAGTCTTCAGCAACTTTGATCGAGCAAGGGAGATGGGAATGAGAGGAAGGGACAGGTGAGAAGAGGGCTGGCGGTGGCGCTACTTACTTCGAGGCAAGGTGCGAACATGAGTTCTCATGGGACAAGATTGCGGAGACGACCGAGAATGTTTACTATGAAGTTGCTTGAAGCCAGCCTATCATTGCATTGACATGATGCACAAGCTAATTTCCAGTTATGCTCTACAGGATGGTGGAGGTCAGAGAGTAAAGATAGTGGGATGCAAAGAACGACAACACGGACAAGATCACTTGCACTTGAGGCCTTAGTTTATCACCGATTAACCTAACTTAAGTGACTACGATTACAATGATGCACAACTCCGAAGGGTCCTCCGTGTTCTAGCAGAGTTCGAAGTCTGCTCCTGAGGCTATGTGCAGCCTCTTGCTTGCGGTGGGAGGAGCTTGCCTGTGGCATGATGACAGGTCGTCTTGGAGATACCGTGACCTCGTCACGTCACTCTTCCGATTCCTCGGAGTGTCGCAGGGAGTGCAGCCCTTGGGGCTCGAGACGTTGTCAGGAGTCTCCGACCCTGACAGGATGGAGGGGGAGATTTCCAGCTCCTCCGAAAACGTGTCGGCATGCAACCTCTTTCGGCCTGCAGAGGGTTTCCTTGCTGCCTTGGTGGAGTCGACATCATCTGGAAGCAGGGAGCCGTTCAGAGATCGGCATAACAACAACACACGAGAACAAACCTTCAGGATCTTCTTCCGAGTCCTCTATGATGCGAGCGCGGCATTCTTCTATCTGTTGCTTCGTGAAGCATGCTTCCAGCGACATATAGACCATCTGAGCGAACCGATTCTCGTCCGACATGTAGTCGTTGAGACCCAAGAAGTCGTGGAGAGGGATGATTGTATCAGCTGCATAAAAAATGAGCCCCAAATGGATACAAATCGTGTCCGTACCCATTCTGTTGTTGTCGTATCCGTCTATGTTGGTGTTTGATGCAAATAGAGATGTCCAGATCGATTGAGACCAGATTGCATACAGACGATCGGTAGCGAGATATTTTGATGAGCTTGAGATAAGCTCACAGAAACGTCCAGTAGATACTGACGTCCAGGGTCTTTTTATGTGTGAAGTCTACGGAGATAAAGGGATGGGGTGAAAAAGGGTAAGAGTCTTCTACAGAGTTTCTGAAAAGCAGCAAAGATTGTTCTGCAAACGGAAAATCAGTATCTTTGAATGAATATCTTTAGTTGTTCACTGGAACACGCCATGCAATACCTCCATCTCTGAAATAATATCTGACAGTCTACCAATTGCTGATCTACCATCTGCTTTCAATATTATCTATGTCTCCCCAGCCGTATTTTGTATTCTAGTTGCCTCGTCATCTTAGTCTTCTCTTCTAACATCCTTCCTCGACGAATATCAGGTCAACATGTTTGTTAGACCTCGCACTACTTTCTCTTCGTCGTTCTTTCTCTCCATGTCTCCTTGCGCTACGAAACATCTTTGCAACTTATTTATCCCCTACTCTCCACCACCCACCTAAACCCCTCCAATGGTTTACCCCCACCCCTCAAACAAGTCCAAATACGTGGAAATGGACCCGTACTTCTTACGTACCCACCACATGAAGTCCTGGAGAACCAACCAACAAAAACATCAACAAACTGACCACCCTACCCCCTCTGGTTCTGATTTATTTCCTACCCACCGTCCGTAATAGGGAAATAACCCCTCATTCCCGATTCCAACTGGATATGTACCCCCACCACCCCCACCACCCTTGCACAAATAGAATATCGTTTACAACTGGATTTGACCCACCCCCTTGAAGGCGATTCATCCTTACAAACAACCCGTTCATTTCTCATCCAATACTGGGGACCGGTGCTAGGCTCTGTAATACAACCCCGTCGATTCCTTGGCCCCTGAGTTACTTTTAAATGTTTTAAATTCATAAAAAGATATACTTCAGAAGTATTTTTAGAGAGGAAATATAAGCAAGAGATACCAAATTCTGAATGAAAAGACGTTTTTTGGACTCAACAAGAGCATCCAAGATCTCGATTGAGACCTCAATTCCACCACAACACTACCTTTCATGATTGTAAAACTTAGATAGTTTTAAGAAGTTTTAATCTCTAAATCTCCTCCGAAATCCTTGCTTTTCATGTTTTTGCCCCGGGGGTCATCGGATTCGGTCTGCCGGTTTTGCGGACTTCTGTCGATCTGAGAGTCAGGGAGCCTGGCGAGCCGCTGAGCCGGGGCGGCCCCGGCCCGATCATCGGATCGCCGGCCCGGACCCGGTCACGTGACAGGCCGGCCTTCTTTACTCAACTTGAGTCAAAGTTAAGTTAAAGCTTTGAATCAGTACGAAGGGGACCTTACTGACGGGAGTCGGGCGGCGCCGGCGGCCGGGCCGCGCTGGAACGGCGCCCGTACGGCGCCGGACTCCGGAGCGGCTCCCGGCCTCCGACTCGATCACCGTGGCACTGAGTCGATCTGAGAGCGGCGGCTGAGGCTCCGACTCTCGGCCCCGCCGCGGCCGCCCGGCCCGGCGCCGCCGAGCCAAATTTGGAACGGCCCGGAGAACCGTGAACGGCCCGGCGTACCGTGATCGGATTCAGGCTGTCAGTACGGTATACTATGATAGGCTACGGTAGTACTAGGCTATCATCATGATCGGACTCCGGGCCGGGGCCGGGCCAACTTTTATTTGGCTGAACGGCCGGGGGCCGGAGAACGCCGGGTACCGTGACTGTCCGGCGATCGGGCCTGAGTACCGTGACCGTACGGTATAGGCTATCATCGGATACTGCGGCCGTAGCCTCAGCCTGAGACCTTCGGTTCAAACCGTGCGGCTGTGCAGCGGCAGTGACTCAGTCTGATCCGATCAGTGAGCGGTCACTGCGGCTGCCAGGAGCATTTTGAGGGCCTCGGATCCGGCGTCACTGTTGAGCGCCCGGCGCGCCGGGCGTCACGTGGCCGTGATCGGACTGCGCCAGTGATCGGACTCCGCCGGGCACGGTGGCAGCCTCGGGCGCCGCCCGCCGGCGGGCGCACGGCGCACGGCGTGACTCGCCGGAGTCGGACGGTGCCGATCCGATGGCGGACATTCTGGGGTCAAACCGCGTTGGTCTTTATTAACGCAAAAGAGGAATGCGTATGCTGTTCTCATAGGATACCGGTGGTAGTGTACCCCATGTTTTTTGAGGGGTGTTGCTCGGTAATATCAGTGGTAGGGGTGCTTCAAATTTTGAACTGGCGTGTCCATTTGTTTTAACGGCAATGAATTGTTTATTCGAATCCGTGGTACAAACAGTTGTACTGAGTAACGGTTCATAACTGCTAATTTGTACTATCTAAAACAATTTTGATGACCCACCCTATCAATGAGGGTGGGGAAACGCTCCCATCATTCCCATCGTCTAATCGCACTCCGAGCCGTCATGCTGAGCCGCCGGGCGAGCACAGCAGCAAGGTCAGCGAGCTGCCACCATGAGCACAGGTGAAGAACCGCCAAGTAAGAACATGATCGCAAGGTACCATTGGCATCAAGAATCCAGCACATATTCTGACATGGTGATCTTGTAGAAGTGGATCAAGGCTGCATGAGTTCGTCATCCTACATTTCCAACGACTAAGTCAATCGTATCATCAATTTCTCTTCAAGACTTCTGGGCTCTCAGAGTAATGTACTTTATCTGAAAAGTGAACTGAATAAGATAATCTGTAAGATAATGACGAGTCCGCTTAATTAAGGTGCAATCACATCTCACTTGACTCCCTCCTCGGCACGGCAAATCTTCTGTACGCTTCGATACATCGTTGCTTCACATCATCAGAACAACTTTGATGACTTCTGCTTCTTTGAAATATGCCAATTACTTGACTCTCACGACGCTCTTGTTGATTCTTCCCTCCTCTCTTCAAACTCTCCTCATTCAGGTTATTTGCATGTTTGCATATTTGCTGAAATACATCAACTTTGCTTGGCTTCCCTAATGGTGGAGCTTTTGACGTCCAATTAAGCCTCAGATCATATCAGGGATCAAGACTCAAGCTTGTAAGCTGGCATGCAAGAATCCATTGTGCGTTGCAACCAGACTGACATTAATGTAGAATCAAGGTTGGAGGTGATATCTGATTTGACATTTATTATTCATTCGAAGCGTTTATCTCAGGATGTCGAACTATCAGCAAATTGACACGGACTCCCAGACAATGATAATGACAACCACAATGTCATATGGAACTTCTCCAACTGCGCGCACAACAGAATGGAAGCACATGCTGTAGGTGCACTGCCATCCAACACCGTGCGGTTGAGTTTGCTGTCTTGAAGAGGTTTCAATCTTGTTTGTCACAAAGAGGCAAGGCTTTGAGCATGTGGACATGGATATATACAAGACTATGCATCTTCACAAAGTGTTTTGAAGTCATGCAACAAGAGATGCATCATTCAAAGGCGGAGAAGTTCAAACATGATCTGAACAAGTCATGTGGCACAGTGAAGCATCTCTCATAAATATGATATTCCATCCAGCACATAAAGATGAAAGTCTGCATGGAATAAAGCTCTTGGACTTTTGCAATACGCTTCAGCTACAAGCATGCAGAATCTAGTTCTCAACATCGCCAGGCTTTTGCTACCTGTGCACAACGATTAGAAAATGAACAATCCACAGAAGAACTCCATACCTGTGTGATGGAACGAGTTCATTTGCACCTTCTCCTCTCACAAAATACTTGAGAGTCTCTTCATGCTCGTGTGTGTTCGTGGTTTACTCGTCCCCTTCCATGGATGCGTTCAAAAATATGATCCAGACTTTGAAACAGATTATGGCATAATAACATTTTCACCAACCGACGCAGAGGGTTTGACGAAGAGAGATGTTGATGAGAGTCACCTGCTGCGAGTCACTGCAACTTGGGCTAACATGCTCGCACAAAACTCAAACACTGAAGACAAGGATCCGCAGAGAAGAGCTTCGCGACATGAGAGAAGAATGGCGAGGGAAGACGCACTGGGGTAGTGGGTGATGGCGTGTAGAATTAAAACATTTTAGAAGGTACCAGGAAACGATAAGCTAAACATCCAAAATCACTTTTAATCACAGTTTTGAACATGGTTTGAATTTCAACAGTACAGAATTTCAACCTGCGCGAATCACACGCCGTGTACCCCCATTTTCCCATGCACCACCCCCTTGAAAATATGGGACGAGAACCAACGCGGTTTGACCCCAGAATGGGAATGATTTTGAGTCGCCGGACGCCGCGACTCACTGACTCGGAGCCCGGCCCAGGCTCCGGGAGTCCGGCGTGACTCAGTCCGATCAGTGAGCCAGTACGGTCCTCACGGCGACCGTCAGCGTCGCGCGGCAAGGCTCAGGCTTGACAGTGCCGCAGTCACTGCAGCCGGGCGGCCCCAGCCAGTGGCGTTGACTCGGGCAAACACGGTGGGCCGGGCCGCCGGCCACTCACCTGAAGAAGGCCAACCTGTCCACTATTTTTTTTTGGGCTTTATCAGAGGGTAGGGGTTATGGCTGTACGGGTGATTTTGATCTTGAACTGCACGGTACTTGGATCTATTTCGAGTTATTGGATTCGGGTGGGTCTTGAAAAAAAACCTAGAATGCAATATGTACACTTGCAAAATAGGTGTGTTTTGCCTGCAGAGGCGGATCATTCTGATTTTTTTTAACTGCGGATTCATAGCGAGTTAGTTTTGGATAAATCGGGCTAGAAACAAAGAATAAGAAGCATTCTGTGCTCGTTTCCTAGCGCATTTCAAACATGTTGTACGAGTGATGAGCATTGGTTTTTTTATGTATTCAAACAATCACATGACCCCCTACCCCCGAACCCCACTCAAGCTGGCATGATCCACCCCCACCCCCTCTAATCGAAAATTTGAATTTAGGTAGGGGTGATCAAGGGCACTTTTGTACGTGCTCCATGTTAGAAAATTTCCCATGGGTGGGTACATGAATGTGACTACCGGTCAACTTCACTACCCCTTCTTTTGGAAGGCCACCCCCACCCCTTCTTGTGGTACCCCTTTTTGGCCGCCACCCACCCTGAAAAAAACTAACAGACGGTCAGTATCTTTGGTTAACTTGAGAAAAAATAATTCAAAGATTAGTTGGTATTCCAGTAGAATTTCAGGATCCAATATGTTGTCTATCAGTACCTGCATGTTTGAATTTGTTTTTTTTAATTTATTGGCAGTTACACCCCTCCTGCCTCCCTTGGCCCCTACCTCTACCTCCTCTTCTTCCGCGGCGAGTGGGACCCACCCCGCTGATCCATCCTCCTCTTGGCGCCCACCCCCTCATCGTTCCTCCACCCCACAAAGCGTCTCTACACTTTCCTGGACGCTACCCCTACCTCATCCTCCTCCGCACCCCTCTGTGCTCCTTTCCCGCACTCTCTGCCTCCTCCTGTTAGCAGCAGCGGGTTCGTTTGTGCGTTCCTTCGTTTTGTTGCTCCCTGCGCGACTCTGTTTCGGGTAGGACATCAACTTTGTTTCTGAGCAGTACATTTCTACAATGCAGGAGATTCAAGCTATGCTCTCCCAGCGACGCAGTTCCTCCGAGAACCAGTTTCGCTTCCCATTCGCCATGGATTCTGGCGACAATGTTGGACATCATGGCCCTGTTGATGTCCATACTCTTGCCGGCCTTCAGGGAGGTGGAGACGTGATCCAATTGACTTGTAAGATCGTGGATCCTGAGATGAACGGAGGCATGCGTTACAAGGCCTGGACTCATCACCGCGAAGTTGTGCTCCAGCGTTTGAATGGCTGGCAGCTTGTTGCAAGTGGTCCTGACTTCGCCACCTTCAATGTTCCTCGCGCCATTGTTGAGGCTGCTGCTACCGAGCGCCAAGCCAAGATCCCCAAGGAGGAGCGTCGGTACTGGGGAGACAAGAGTGACTTCTGTCGTTGCCTTGAGACCGTTCTTAACGAGCTTGAGCCCAAAGCAACCAGCGCCCCCTCTCCATCGTCATACCTTCTCTTCTGCCAAGACAAGAGGCAGGAGCACAAGGAAGCAGGCCACACTACCCCTCTTGACGTCAAGGATCTTGGAGCTATGTGGAAAGCGCTCAGTGAGGAGGAAAGAAAGCCTTGGACCGAGAAAGCAGAGCAACTGAAGGCCAGCGGTGCTACCATGGGAATCCCTGGACGCAAGAGAAGCAAGCTCAAGGGATCGATGGGTGGCAACTCTGCTCCTATTCAGCCCCTCCCTCCTGCAGTGCAGGCTGTCTGCTCTGAGAATGGCCTGGACAACTTGGACGTGCTTGTCCGTCTGATTGAGGGCAAGCAGCCAATGGAGCTCATGATGTATGAGCGCAGACTTCGTGTCATCATGAACAGGTTGCATGAGCTTCAGTTCCAGATCTCCACATCTATGCCAGCGAAGAAGCGCCAGAAGGTGGGACATCACTCGAGAGGGATCATGTCCATCAACGCTCTTGGCCATCCAATGGGCCGATAAATTCATAATTCGTGAAATCCTTGTGTGCGTGCCTGCATTCAGCTTGTATTGAGAACTGGTTGCAAAATGGCTTTTGATGTAACTTTAAACTCTAAACAAACGAGTCTTGCAATAGCTCTGTGTCTGTTCCCTCTAGTCTTCATTCGCTCCACTTGAGCTGTGGAGCTCCTTCATCACCATTTTGTTCCTGGGAAGTGTCACATTCTCTCGTAAGTACATATTAGAAGAGTAGACCTTGTAGATCTTTTTCAGCTCGTCAAGCTTTGGCTTAACAGTTTGCTGCAAGTTGTTGTGATCATGAACTGTTGGACTAGAAATGCATACAACTAACCCTGTCTTCCTCGTCTTCGAGCCTGTCGATGTAAACAACTCCTACACGGTGTTAGAGGTTTCTCTTACTGAAAAAGAAAACACACCTTCGAGATGATCGTACTCGTGCTGGAAGACGCGGGCAGTCCACCCAGTAAACTGAAGGCTGGTCAAACCAACGACATTTCACTAAGATACAAATTTCTTGCCTTCTTCTTGATCGTTTTCCCTTTCAGATCCTGGGCCTCTATTTTGATCCACTTGTGTCTCCGAACCTTTCTGCATGTTAGAATACAAGCAACATTGAATCAAATCCTCATCACCTTTCCTTGCATTCCAGGAAATGAAAGACAAGCTTCGGTCTATTCCAAACACAACGTCATGTAAAAACAAGGATGGTTGGATGAAAAAACCTCAACGTCTGTCCCCTCTGACATCTCGACAATCTTTGGATTGATCAGAGCTATTTCCTACCACAGACAGTCACTTGCATCATGAATTGATGACAAATCAAAACCTGAAGCCACTTCTTTTTGTCCCCTTCAGGGTTGAAAACCATGATGCGCTTGTTGATACCGACCTGCTCTCTTAGTGAGTAGATCTCATCTCCATCAACTCTACAAACTTGCCTGAGGGGCTGCAAGTCCAACTCCACGTGAGGCATACATGACAAGAAACATTTCTTTGATGGTCTGCAATTGAGATCACGACAGGCCAACTTGGCCATAGTCACATAACCTTGCGAAGGTTATCATCGAACTCTGTCACCTCCTCGTCTGGTGCCCTCAGCTGATGCAGGTCAGAGGAGGGTCGACAGAGGCGAGCAGCACCTTAGGATGAGGATACTTGAGGACCCTCAGGTCTGTCCCCTCGATCTCCCCGGGATCGACCTCTTCCTCCTGCAACCGCACACTTCAGTTTCGCATGGCCTCAACATCGTACCGTCACCATGGGTTCTGCAGGTGCACTTGCACTGGCCTGGTCGCTCATGAATCTGCTGGTGGATGGGAAGGAGGACCGGGGCTGATTTCAACACCGTCATTCCATCTCACGGCCTCCCTTTCGATGCAACCTGGAAGTGTGAATTTCTTGCGCTGCACATGACAGGGGTGTATGAGAGCCGCACCAGGAGCATGAGGAAATCAGTATGTAAGGATAGAAGAGAGACGCATGCTGGGGTACTGACATCCTTGGGTTGAACATGGAGCTGCTGGACGCACTCCTTGCTAGGAGGGACTTGGCGAACCTCCCATCAATTCGCCTGGTGACCATGGTGCTGGAGTTTGATGTGAGCGAGCATACATGGAGATGGAAGATGAGATGTCAAGTAGTAGATCATCAGTGCACAGAGTGCCATCTCGAGATGATGTCTTTGAGATTGAAACATTCCCTCCTCTCTCTCTCTCTCTCGCTGCATGTCAAGAATGTACATTCAACCTCTTTGGTTTCTCAGCGAGTTGGGAGGCCCAAACGCTCCATTTGACATGTTTGCATTCGATCCAAGCACGGGAAACCATCCACATTATGCAAACGCTGGACCTGGCCTCACTACCCACCACTACTCGAAAGACTCGAACCGCAAACCAGGTCGGGGCGTGTGGTGTTTGGAGCAGAGGGAGAGCAAGACAAGGTCGGGCGAACTAACATGCGGGCAGCACGAAGACAGGTGAAAGATTCTCCCCATCGTCTTACCTCATGAAGCCTGTACATCGCAAAGGCATCAGGACTGCCAGGGTTATCGGCAGGGTCGCGTGCATTACGACAAACAAGCCTACTGGAGTTCCAGAGGCCTCGAGGTTTTCAGTGAACCCGGCAGGCCGTGAGGGCCGGGTCGGCCCGGGTGATCATGGGGCTGTCCGTTACGCTTCAGTTTCATTCGGCTATTTCGGGGGAGCAATGGCTGCGCCTGAGATCGGGGGATATGGTTCGATGAAGAAGGTGATGGAGGAGGTGCAAGGAGAAGAGGGAGAAAATTCTTGATTATGTTGAAACAATGAAGTAGAGAGAGATCAGGAATGTGATGGTGTGTTTTACCGATGATAAGGTAAGGGGAAAGCAAACCTTGGCGCTCCAGACCTGTGCTATGTTGCTTCTTTGTGGGGCGTCAGGGAAGCAATAAGTTGGATGATCGGATGATTGTTGATGATATGAATATTGTTGATTGAACTATCTCTTGCAAATTCTCGTGTAGGACTTAGGAAATGTTTCTCGTGTGACGGGTTGTTCTGTCGGGTGTAACACGCGATCGGTTTTCAGGTCAAAGGAATGGCACAAAAGAAGAAAATGCTTTCTGCCACTCTCGCAGCCCTGTCTTGCTTGGCACTCGGCATAGTGCTGATTTCGGGATGGGCCAGTAGGAATCATCAGCACAAGTCGGTCTTGATGACCATTCCTTCACGCAACCAGAAGCTGGTGAATGTGTGCGACCTCTACGGTTGCCATACCGTCCTGGTATCCAGCCAGCAGGTCAGTTGCCTGCAAAGTTCTTTCAATTGCTCCATTGTGTCTCCTGACAACTTTGCTTGCAGCAGCAAGCTCTCAGAGCCGAGCACGAGGAGAGGCTGCGAGCGAGGAAGGAGGCTTATGCCATGATGATCAACAGAGCCCATCAGAACTCCCAAACGTCAGCCCATCTTGAGCAGATGGCGATGAAGGAGCCTTCCGTGAAGTCTCAAGTGCAGCATCAGCAACACACACCAGAGATCAAGCACGCCGACGCGTCTCCTCCAAAGTCCTTTGTGAGGTCCGTCGACCACCCGGCACCGGTCCAACCGCACAGTGTGCACCCACCAGTTGAAATTGCACAACATCAGATGGAGGCGAGTAGCCCCCATGGAGTCTCAGCCAGTCATCTTGTGAAAGAATCTTTGTCGAAGACTTCAGCAGCTCCGCATGCTGCAAGTGCTGTGGCCGGCATCCAGTCCAAGTCAGCGCTGTCCCACATGAGCCCCCGCACAGCATCTCAAGTTAAGAAGGCTCTTGACGGAACTCAACCTCCAAAGAGCACTGTAACTGAGGCTCCCCAGCATCCGCTCCTGGTAAACAAGATCAAGTCTGTTGACACCAGCGACTGATCGTCGCACAGGCACGCGTCGTCCATCCTGCTGTCGCTGAAGTGACGGAATTTAAGCCCTGCTTGCTGAGTTCTGATGCATTGCAGGTCAAGGAGCTGCCTCCTCAACCAGCTGTGAAGAAGATTCTTAGGCCACAAGCCAGTGCAGGAGCAGAATCGATGCATGTTGTGAATGAAGCTGAGCAAGAGAAGAAGGCCAAGTCGAAGCGAGCATTGATCCGCAAGGTACTTGATTTCTCGCTGGCATATTTCGATGACTTACAGGGCCTACAGGCTCTGAACTCTCAAGGGACTCTGAAGTCGTTTGGTCTCTTCTCAGATGACAGGCTGTCAGCCAAGAAATCGGAGGGCCAGATGTAACTTGCGACTTTCGTTCCGAATGCTGCTTACGCCTTCATGGCAGGCCATTCTTTGAGCAAGAGTTTTCTGACTCCGGCAGCAAGAAGGTATCGTCACTCTATTCTCACCGACTCTGATCCCACTCCTCACGATGTTTAGGTCACCAAGCTTGCGCAACCTCAGCTCGCCCAAAAGGTTTCTCGACCGGCGCATGAAAATCTTGGCTCGATCATCGACGTGAGATTATTCAAACTTATCACTCAATGGTAGACAGCTGAGGGTTGTGTAGTCGGGCTTCGCGGACAAGACCTTCAAGAAGGGATCAGTCCAGTCTGAGCAGCCACTCTTTGACAGATTCGTTGGCATGAAGGCTCCTCTCATTGCTGACAGTCATGCGGTCAAGCTGGCAGCAGCACGGAGGTTGAGCGAGAAGCATGCCAGCCTTGAGCATGCAGGCAAGCCGAGCAGAGGAGAGAGCGCCCTCCGCTCTTTGGATGTGAGGGCATAAAACCTCTTCTTTTCCGTTCCGCTGAATCTGGTTTCTTGTGCCTGCAGACTGATATTGGGTTCCATGACCGCAAAGTACGTGCGCAGGACTCAAATGTTCCATTATTCTCCTTCTTTGAATGAATGTAACTTACATGTTCGCACCTTTCGTGCTTCAACTTTCCGCTGCTTCTTGCACGCTCTTTCCATTCATCTACCTTTTATTCAGTGTCAAGCAATGTAGAGATGTTCCTGCTTGGCCAGAATTGTCTGAAAACCCATCAAGGTCAGTATTTACGAATACCGCTCATTTACTCTTGCCGTCGGCTTCGTTTGAGGCTTCCCCGTCATTTCAGTGTGAAACTTTGAGACATTGTCTCTAATGTTAACTAGCGTTTGCGCCCTTGTCTCTGTGCCTCTGCTCAGGCTTCTTGGCCTTTTCAATGTGACAGGGCGTCAAATTTGATGACAAGTGACAAACTACTATCAAACCAGTACCATGGCATTTGTTGTTGTTTATTCAAATGTAAAACATGTATCACAGATTAAGTTTTTCGAATGTCGATATTACCATCATTTGCGTTGCTTTCAAGTCAAATCGCTCGGAGGGGTATAGAGGAGAGTCTCCTTATCGTGAAAGATGTCCCATGACGTGCATTAAAGACTCTTCTAGCAACTCTTCGATACTAGTCTCTGTCCAGTAAGGTTTTCTGTACGAGGAAAGGCTATCATCATCCGTGGGTTCTCGTTCGGGCATCGGCGAGCCATTGGATTCTCCCTTGTTCCTTCTTGCTGTGCACTGACTTCTTCGGTTGTACGGCCATTTTCTGATACCCATACGACGGCAAGCGGATTTTAGGGAGGAAAGAGAGATCCCGAGAGTTTCAGCAGCTTCGGTTTGGGTGAGGTGAAAGAGAGACCTAACTGAAGACAAGTCGAGATTGATGGGGTCCACTGGCGAGTAGGTCGAAGGCTTTCCGCGGGGTCGGGGGCAAACTTTGACTCGAAGAGGCTGCGCGTCGAGCTGATAAGTAGCGGCAGAAAGGAGTTGTCGGAGAGAGCTCATGGTGATTGGCTGATGCAGGTGATAGACCAGGGCGGGGCAACACAAACAAACGCTGAAGGATGGGGGCGCGATGAAGGACGAGCAGCCGATTGGGAAAACGTCGGAGGAGCTTGCAGAGCAGTTGCAAAGGTGTGGATTGTTAAAACACATTTGTAAACTGTTCCGGTCAAAACAGGGCTAGGGGTTATTAGACTCTTATGTTCCTGAGGGGTCCAGAGCGCTTTACATCCTTATCATAGTCTCTTTGCTATAAAAGTGTGAGACATGAGGTATTTTGATTGCATGCTCAAATCCCGGTAAAACTGTAGGGCCAAACCCTGGGGTGGGTGACTTTTCATACCTCATAACACAACGATTGGAAATTCTTGTCCCCACGAGCCCCTACCCCACCCCCTAAGTTCCTATTCTTTTGGGGTGAGCACAAAGTCACGGTTGCACGGTTTGACGGTTTGGTGACTTAAAACAAGTTTTAGTTCAAACGTTAAACCAGTCTTAGATATTCTGACATGCAGTAAACGCACCAGACTCTGCGGCAAGGTAGTAAAAAGGTCAGCGGCATCGTGATCTGTATCTACCGGTTTTACGGAGCCCGTTTTGTCTGTCGGAGGACCGGAAACTTCCGGTGCCACGGAGTGCGGTTCCGGCGGCCCGGACAGGCTCAGTCCAAGCTGCCGGCCGGGCGCGGCCGGGCCGGTAACTTTCAGTCACACATGGGAATATTATTCTTTTTCCCGTCGGTAATGCTGGTCAAGGGCGCAATGCTCGCGTTCTCGTCTCCATATGGCGGGACGATATCAGGCTGCAGGAGCTTTTCCAGCCTTTCTGCAGCATCACCTTCCCGTCTTGCTCATCCTCCTTCGACATCGCCCCTCTGTTCTCGCTTCACTCCTTCCCTGAGCAGGCATCCACTCAGGCATCGATCTATTACAAGTCTACGCGCAGGGGAGGTGCTGGGCTGGGAGGGGACGGGGATTCTCCTCTACACGGATCTGCAGTATTCCCTTGTACTTAACTCTGTGCTTGCCCTGCTCTTGCTGGCCACGGGCAAGTACAGGTCGTTCCTGACCTCCTCGGGACTCCTCAGTGCCTGGTTGTTGGGCGTGATCCTGTGGGGGTCCTTGGGGTTTGCCGGCTGGTCCACCTGTGTGGTGTACCTAATCGCAGGGTCGCTGGTGACAAAGGTCAAGATGGCTGAGAAAGAGAAGAAGGGTATCGCTGGTGATGGTAGAGCAGCGCGTTCCCTCGTTTGATCGCTGTGACAGAGAGCCGCGGGGGAGCGCGAGGCCCTGAGAACGTCTGGGGATCAGCGGCCACTGCTGCTTTCTGTGCGATGATGGCAACGTACTCGCTTCAGGACACTGGTCTCTTCAGGGTTTGAGTGCTAGGGAGACGCTGCCATGTGGCTGATCTTTCTCCTAGATCGGGTTCGTTGCCTCTCTAGCTACCAAGCTCTCCGACACCTTCGCCTCTGAGCTCGGGAAGGCCTATGGCAAGAAAACCTTCCTCATCACCTCCATGAAGCCCGTGAGTCTGAATCTTCCGCATGATCGAGGAGGATGAAAATCTCCGCAGGTCCCTGCAGGGACGGAAGGAGCCGTGAGTGTAGAGGGCACCCTCGCAGGTTGGAACCTTGTCGTTCTCCCTTGGGATCGTCATGGGGAGTGACTAGAGCACAGGAGTTGTTGGGAGCCTTGTGATTGCAGTCTGGGCTGTCATGACGAACGTGATGCTCGCCTCCGAGATCCCCGTTGTCATGATCGCAGCGTTTGTGGCGACGACATGTGAATCGGTGATCGGAGCCACGGTGCAGGATAAATACAAATGGCTCACAAATGAGGTCATGAAGAACATCCATGGTTCACTGTTCTAACATATTGTACAGGCGGTGAACGCGATCAACACAAGCATCGGAGCTGCAGTTGGCATCTTGCTGTTCAACATGTACCATTGAACCAGCAACAGTACGGCCAGCTCCAAAGAGATCGCCATGTTGTCGCTTGTTCAAATTCGGGTTTTATTACTCAGTAAGAAATTAGCGCGATCAATCATCTGATCGACTACAACACTGGGAGAGAATCGCTTGACCATGTCTTGTCTTGCTCGCTTGCCCTTCGCCGCCCTGTCCTTAGCATTCGCAAATACATGTCGTAGCGTTGATACAAGTTGATCAAAGTCTGGCTCTGCGTACATGTGGCTGTGTCGCTCTACCATCGAGTAGCCGATAGGATACGAATTACTCTCCGTGAGATACTCAGTGGGCCCGCTAAAGTTGGTAACGATGACCGGGAGCTCCATAGCCATGGCCTCCACAATCGGAAGGCCCCAGCCTTCTCCTCTCGTCGGGAGCACCATCACATCACTCGAAGCATACAGGTCCCTCATCTCTGCCCTCGACAAGGCTCCTTCTTGGATCGTTGGTCCTCCCTGCAGGAACTCGATCCTAGCAAGCTCGTCGAGCTGAGAAGGGATGCTGGTATCCTCGCCCTTGTGCTCCCTCCAGTACTTGACACGGTTCGGCGACTCCATCTTGGCGTACTGGGTTACCCTAGCATGCATCTCGGTGAGCCCTCCTTCCCACGATGGGATGTAGCTCCTTATCTTCAAGACAACTTTGTCTTGCGGGGTGAATGCAGACCAGTAGGCGTCCAACAGTACATCCCATCCCTTGCGATGCTCCCACTTGAAGACTGAAAGCAGGACCAGATCATCGGAATGCCGCTCCTGCTTCTTAGCGAGTGCAGGATCAAAGAATTCAGTGTCTACTGCCTCAGGACTTGCAGCCAGAAAGTGTCAGCAACAACAAGCACTTTTCCTTTCAGAAAGTTTCTCACATTGCCATCAGCTTGTCCTCGGGGATTCCAGCATTCTTAAAGGCCTCGACATGCCATTTAGAGGGAACCCAGAGCTCGTCCACCCTTTGAGCACACCGAACCCAAGAGTGGTCAAGCGTCCAAGACTCCGTCATGGTTCGTCCAATGAAGACGTCTGGTTTCTGAAGAGGCAAGTACTGACGAACACATGAACAGTCAGGGTGTTGAAGAACGAGGGAAAATCAAAGTTTTCATCTCTACCTTCGACCATGCACAAGGTTCTGAATGTTCAATAACAATGGTCTTGGCATTTGGCTGTTTCCCACTTTTGAGGGCATCCATTTTACGATGAGTTTCCTGCTCACAAGCGCAGGTCAAGAGCACTGCATCGAATGAGAAATCCCCGAACCTTTATGGCTGTTGACTCCTTCTCAGACAAGATCGACAAGAAGTCCTCGTGACATTCGCCGCTGTCCAAGGCGAAGAAATCGATTTTCTCTGCAGCAACGTTCAAGATTCAGAGGAGGGTTTGCACGAGGAGGTGATACCGCGGAAAAGCGGGAGATAACCAAGAAGCTCGACGAAGAACCCGGAGAAATCGCACCCGACAGGAAGCCTCCATATCCATATGAGCTGACTCCTTGCGCAGACTACCCATCTACGATTCAGCACCGAAAACATCGCAAGTATCTTCGAGCAAGTTTATTCACCTGACTCCTTTTCTTCATTTCCTGCAGGACACATATCACGTCAGCTGCAATGAAGGTCGTCATCAACGTTGGTACCTTTTGTTGGCAACCCCAGCTCGTTCCTCATATACAGGACGACAAAAAATCCCACCCACATAAACAAACAGTATATTATAAGAAGCCGGATCATCGCCTTTTGTCGGGTTCCTTCTGGTTTTGCTTCAGTTGCTCATCTGCCATTCAGCTGCTAGTGAGATCCAGAGATGAACATCGAGATTGAAAACAAAAGTCCTAGCTGCCTCTTTTCCACATAAGTGCCATTCAGGCGCATCTGCTCAAAGGAGCTCATCGGGACGGATCTTTTAATTAAGATCCATGGCAACTTTCACTTCACCTTGCCATACATGACATGCCTTTCACGCGTGGCAATGGGTTGCTGCCTTACCTTCGATCTCTCTCCGCTGCTCTCCCCTGAGCCTTCGCTGCTGCTGCCATCCAGCGATACATAAGGTAACGAGCCCCAATTTAAAACCTTGTACATCAACATCGTTTTAAATCTTATGCCTGCGAGAAAAAATTACTACATATAAAGGACGGTGTACGGCGATCTTTACTTATGTTGTGGTACAAACCAACAAAAGTAGTTTTAAAGGCGACATACTCGTGCAGGGATTCGTCTCCTTGGGAGCGTGACCGGTCACGAGTCACCTCGGCCAGTGTGACTCGGGCGCCGCGCGCACGGGCCCCCCAGCTGATCACGTTACCTGTTGAGTAAACTTTTCAGTGAGCCGGGATAACCAGAATGAGGGAGAGGGAGGGAAGAGGAGGAGGAGGAGGAGGAGGAGGAGGAGGAGGAGGAGGAGGAGCTTCAGCTAAGGATCTATCTCTTGTCAAGCTGGTCACAACAAGACTCCTCTGCATCGTCGGCTCTCTCTCTGTCACCGCAGCTTCGCCGGCTGGATCATGTCGCGGCAGCCGCCTTCAAGACAGCTCGGCTTTCATGCGCCCATGTCAGTCAGCCATCACAACTTTTGAAGGCTTCTTTGTTTTGAGATCTGGACGGCATCAGTCAGCATGCTTGCGAAAACTTCCACTGAACTGCCTGCCACATCGTCAAGGCTCGTCATGTTTTCGGCCGATGAACATTTTCTTATTCATGTCTCAAGTCAGCAACGAGAAAATATCCCACAACTTCAGTATGAGTTTCTTTTACGGCAAGGTGGTCCTATGAAAGCTTATCTTTGACTTCAGATATGCACGTGCTCCCTCTGGATCCTATGGACAGGTATGCTCCGATAGCTAGATCCTGATTTGCTGCTCACCGTTCACGGGAAGGGCTTCTATGCTCGCAGTTAGCCATTGCAGAGCGCTTGCCTTCGAAGGGAAGGTAGACTCCTGACTGTGCGTACCAGCACTGGATCACCCTGCTTTCTCTTCTCCAGGAGATTTCAGCTCGACCCAACGATCTTATCGCCTCCAGGTTCGAGAGGCTGGAGATCCTCAAGGCTAGGATAGGTACCGGTCTCTTCCAGTCTGTTGAAGAGGATGATGGCTGGGGTGGTAGGCAAGGGGGCTGAATGCCTCTTAGTCCAGCTACAGGGACCCTTCCCGCTCCAAGTCCTTGAGCGACTAGGTTCACTCTTAGAGCCTCCGGCTAGCTTGGCGCCGTAGCAAGCTGCGACTAACACGTTCACAGTGAAATTCGACGACCTTTGCTCTGCGGAGGACAAGGAGGCAGCGCGGACGATCTTTGGAAGTGCGTGTACCTCTAGGCGTTCAGTGTTGGAGGCGCTGACGACCTGCCAGCAGAGTCGGACGAGGAGGCTGCACGTCAATGGGAGGTGCTTGACACGCTCTGGTTGCCTGCCTCTGATGTTTTTTCTCCTCCTGCTCTCTTCTCCTCGTCGACTTGTCCTGACCTCGGTCTCCCGACTGTACTGGCGGGGACAACACACTCCTGGGGCACTTCAGTCGACTACAGCAGGGAGGAAGTTGATCATAGGGGCTGTGGATCTGTCTCAGCATGAGTTCGAGATGAGGTAGCGGCGGGAGAAGGTGGAACCAAAGGAAGTCACTTGCTTTTAGTTCTCTTGCTCGCCTCCAGTTCGGCGAGTCTTCATGCTACATCGCGGTCTGACCACAGCAGTGGGACGGGCACGGGATGCTGACGACGAGGCAGGACATGGCAGTTCACCCCGCCTTTCACGGTCTCGGCGTTGGAGATTTTCTACTCAAAGAGGCGGTGAGCTGCTGCCTAGTGATGGGAGAGGGGGAGAGGGAGGGGGGACAGGGAATCATGCTCGCGCAGGTGAAACGAGCGGGGGAAAAGTATGGAACGAGAGTTTTCCTGCATGTGGACGAGAAGAATGAAAGAGCTATCCGCCTGTACTATCATGACGTTTTCTTCCATCCTCGTCCCCCCCCACGGCTTTGCTCCTGCTCCTGCTCCTGCTCCTGCTCCTGCTCCTGCTCCTGCTCCTGCTCCTGCTCCTGCTCCTGCTCCTGCTCCTGCTCCTGCTCCTGCTCCTGCTCCTGCTCCTGCTCCTGCTCCTGCTCCTGCTCCTGCTCCTGCTCCTGCTCCTGCTCCTGCTCCTGCTCCTGCTCCTGCTCCTGCTCCTGCTGATTCTCCCCCTTCCCCTTGCGGCTACTTCGTGAGTAATACTCAAGTCAGATACGAGAGGAACGGGTTTTGCCAAGTCGCTAACTGTGAAGCAGCGAGGTTGATGATGCGAGCACGTGTAGCTGCTAACTTGGCGTCCTTAGGGACTTTTATCAGGCCCTCCAGCTAGACTCTAGCCCGTCGAAAAACCTTTTCCTTTGCAAGGGGTGCCTTTGACACCCTCGGCAATGCCTGGAGATGATGGGCATCATCAGTTAGGCATTGTCAACCACGTCGGTTCACGCGCCTTGTCCAGCAGGTTCAGGCCCCGCAAACTTCTGCTTGAAGGCGTCCTGCAGCCCTTGGAGCAGTTTGTTGCTCTGAGAGGAGAAGAAGCTCGCCAAGCTCGACGCCCTCGCTCTCCTCCTCTCTCCCAGCTCGATGCCATGGGTCAAAGCCTTGTTCTCCTCCTCCAGATCTCGTGTGATCGCCTTCCTAAGGCGTGTCTGCAGCGATCGGGCCAGCTGGAATCGAGCAGAGCGTTTGAGGCCCTTGAACGTCAGAGCCTCTTGCTCCCCTTGCCGTGTTCCTCCTTTGGCGATCTCCTCCTTTTCGGCCTCTGTCTCTTTCCCCTCCGCCAGCTCCTCTGCCGCATCCTCCTGCCGCAGCTTCTGGTTGAACTTTGACAGAGGGCCGGACGACAGATCCTGCGCCACTTCCTGTTCGAGGAACTTCCGCTGTTCCCGCAAGAGCTTGGCGAGGAGGCTCTTCTGCGCTGCGCCTGACGCTGTTCGGAGCCTTGGTAGATCTCTGGTGGGAGTCTCCGTTCCTCTGTTACTCCCTAGTGAAGGGTCGAGGGATGAAGAGCTTGCAGGCTTCTGGAGGGGAAGGACTCAAAGGAAGAACAAGCAGCACAGGAAGGAAACGAATGAGAGAAGGCAGAGCAAAGTCACGGTCACGATAAGGATGAGGGTAAGATAAGATACAGTGAAATAAACCACCTTGCTGCCTTTCACCAGGGCTGACACCTTGACATGCTAATGCACTTCAATGCGAGTCATGGTGCAGAAGAATTTACCTCATGCTCCTCTTGTTCATTTCCTTCCTTCCCCATCGCATCCGACAGTTTCTGTGCCTTCTCCTCCTCCTCCGTCGACCTGCTCGCCCCAGCCCCGTCAGCAGACACCTCCCTCTCTCGCCCCTCCCTCCTCTCACCTGGCGTCCAACCTCGCCTCTCGCTCTTTCTCCCTCCTCTGCTGCTCCTTCTCAACCTGCTCCCCGTCTGTCACCTCTATCGCCCCCCTCTCCCCTCCCTGACTCACCTGCTTCGCGTATGCGTCCTCTCGCCGGAACATCCTCAGCTCCCGCCCCTCTGCCTCCTTCATCTCCTTCCTCCTCGTGTCTGCCCTCGCCTGCTTCTCTCGCAGTCTCTCTGCTGCCTCCTCGCGCTGCTTGCGGATCGCCGTCTCTCGGATCGACTCTGCGACCTCTTCCTTGTGCCGGGCCAGCTCGTACGCGAGCGTCTCTCGCTCCTCCTGTCTGTCTAGCTTCCGTTTCTCCTCATGCTCCTGCTGGCGAACTCGCTCACGTAGTCCGTCCTCCCCTCGTTGCCTTCCTCGTTGTCCGCTCGTGACCTGCAGGGCTCCGGTCAACTAGCTCTCCTCCTTCCGCTCCCATCCCGCAGCCCTATCGTCCCTCGCTCGTTCACACACAACCTTGAGTTTGCCTTGCTCTTCCATCGCACCCGACACCATCGCATCCGACAGTTTCTGTGCCTTCTCCTCCTCCTCCGTCGACCTGCTCGCCCCAGCCCCGTCAGCAGACACCTCCCTCTCTCGCCCCTCCCTCCTCTCACCTGGCGTCCAACCTCGCCTCTCGCTCTTTCTCCCTCCTCTGCTGCTCCTTCTCAACCTGCTCCCCGTCTGTCACCTCTATCGCCCCCCTCTCCCCTTCCTGACTCACCTGCTTCGCGTATGCGTCCTCTCGCCGGAACATCCTCAGCTCCCGCCCCTCTGCCTCCTTCATCTCCTTCCTCCTCGTGTCTGCCCTCGCCTGCTTCTCTCGCAGTCTCTCTGCTGCCTCCTCGCGCTGCTTGCGGATCGCCGTCTCTCGGATCGACTCTGCGACCTCTTCCTTGTGCCGGGCCAGCTCGTACGCGAGCGTCTCCTGCTTCTTGTAATGTTTTCTTTCTTTCTCCTCAGCAAACTGCTCGTCTTTCAATTTCTCTTGGAACAATCTCTCCTTGATCTTCACGTCTTCCATCTCTCTCACTCGTTGCTCCTTGGCTCTTTTAATTTCCTCCTTCTCCCTCCTCATTTCTCTTTTGAGGGAGTCTTGAAACGAAGCTTCAGCATCCTCTCTCACAGACGAGCGGCGCTCTGACTCATCCTGGTATGGAAAGACCATCAATAGCTGTCAATCGCCTCACAACAAAGGCACCTCAGACTGCAACGTGTCATCAGATAGCACTCTCTCCCTTTCCATCTGCTTTTCCTTCTGCTTCTCTTCTTCATCCTACATGTCCAAGGATCATCACAAGGCAGCAGCCACGAACCTTGCACGCTCACCTCTCTTATTTTCTCTCGATAAAATCTTTCCTGACCTTGGCTGACTAACGGCGGCTGAGATTTCAGACGGCTCTTCCTCGCTGTGCTATGTTCATGTGGGAGCGAGCTCTGAGGGAGAACACGAGTCTGTGAGGGTCAGCCTCCAGCGTTCAACCTCTCTTCATACCTGAACCGTCCGAGTTCGGATCGCACCCTGATCCCTCCTGTTCGTTGAACGCTCTTGCCGTGTAGTCGCGTGCTCGATAGCAGGATGCGGTGATGTTTGTTTCTTGTCTTGTCCTCCCCCAAATGCATCCGAGAAATAACCTTGGACGTCCTCCACAAGCCCCGCGACTTTCTTTTCCGATGTCTTCAGCGCATGTTTGAAGGACTGCACCAGCGACTCATAGCCAGCCTTGGACCCGTAGATTACGGAGTTGGGCAGCTTTACAATGGTCTCTCTTCCCTTCCTCTCGCCATGGTGCTCAGACATGCTGGGCTGAGGTGAAGCCGACAGGTCGGGGGAGAAGGTTCGAGAGGAGCCTTTCCAGGGTTTAATCGGCGTGTTGGTAGCGTGGGCGATCATTTCTCTCATCTGCTCCATCATCTCATCGACACTTGGCAGCTTCTTCTTGCTCTTGCCTACAACATTAACGACGTGCGAGTCCTCGAAGAACTCGTCCAGAGCAAACCTACCCCCGCCAGTTGTGCCCCCGCTCCTTGAGTTGCAAGTGAGCATGGAGAGCCATGTTGCCAACAGGAGCAGCCCTCCTGCTGCTGTATAAGAGACCCTCTGAGACCTCATCGTATAAACCAGCTAGTTCGCCGCCAAGTGCGTCACAGCATCAGTCAAGTGTCGGCTACATGCATCAGACTAAGCCATGCCGGCCTTGGGCTCAGCTACTCGGCTAGTACCCTGTCAGTGTGGCATCCTCCGAGCCAGCCTCTCCCTCCTCCGGCCCTCAGCCAGTGCGATGCCGCAAAGTTTGACGTAGGTTATTTCTGGAGTCATGTGCCGGGCTCTCAGTCATATATATGGCTTGATAACCCTCAGTGCCCGGCGCCGGCGCCGGCCGCCCCGGCCCCGGCCCCGGGCTGCCCGGCGCCGCCGGGGGGCTGAGGGTGGCACGGTTTCGGTCTTTTTTCAAGTTTGCAGTGCCGGGTCACAGTCACAGTATTCAACTTGAATGGAATCACTTCGAGACTCTTACCGCCGTACACTGTCTGTGCGCAGTTGATATTGGATCATCGGATCTTCTGGAAGGTCACCTTTTGCCAGTTTCCAATCGGATGATCCCCGTAGCAGCCGCCGTGCCGGAGGCAGGCCGCTGACACAACTTAGGCCTGTCACTGCCGACTACGGTCACAGTCCGCCGGTCCGCGGCGCCCGACGTACCGTACTACCGGGCCGTCTGCCGCTGTGTGCCGTACCGTACCGTAGTACCGTACCGTCAGTCACTGAGTCAGGCCCTGAGGTACTCACCTGCCCGGCGGTTCAACTTCCCAACTTGGCAAGGGCCCGGTGCGGATTGGAATGACTCAGGCCCTGCGAGGCTCAGCTCACTGCCATGAACTTCGGAACCGTTTCCGGCGAACGCCGGAACTTCGGAATCTGACTGAGATGAATGTGGGGATGAGGGCCTCTATGGGGCTATCATCTATTAGCTACGAGGAAAGTAGCATGCGCGATGAAGCTGTGACGGAGGAGAGGGTTAGAACGTGATCATGGGGGACAATGAGCGGAATGAACTGAACCATGGAGGAGAGTGAAGAGGAGGCTGAACTAGGCCGATGGCTGATCGCAATGACGCTCTGCTGCTCTCCTCAAGCTGAGTTCCACTCTCAGAGCCTTGAATCAGTCGTGCAGTGTTTGCTCACAGAGTTTGATCGGGATGTGTTTGTGTTTTATCTGGAAGATAGGCTGCATCATATTGATACATGACGTGTGATCTTCTAGATGAACTCTCGAACCGGCTTGTGGCAGCTGACCAAGCTTACCATCCAATATTGTGACACCTCGGTACGTCTCTTTATGAACACAACTTTTCTCTGTTCCGAAACATAATGAATCTCCAGTATCACTCTCGTGGTGCACGCGAATTTGTAGAGAAGTTTGTTCCAACATTGAAGGAGAAGTACTCTCAGATAGAGTTTGTTGTCACGGTATTAGATCTGATTTCTCATTCCGTTTCTAACGGCAACATATCAGCAAAAGAAAGGGCGTCCAGCATGCATGGAAGGGTGAAGCTTCTCATTCAATTGCCACTGCATTGATCTGTTGCTGCTCAGATTCTATCGCAACGGGAGAAACAAGCCAGTTGGTCTGCACAAACAAGATGCCGAGTGGATCAATGAACGTTGTATGCTGCTGCTACATCAATGGGGAGGGAAGAACATCACACACAGTGGGAAGCGTGTGAGGTAGGGAGAGGAGAGCGATGGAAAAGAATCCTCTAAAGCGACTACAGGTCGGAAACACCGAGCGTTCAAGGCATGTGGACTCCTTTCCTCAACAGAGAGTGATGGACGTCAACACGCCTGCAGCAAGCTTGAGGAAAAATACGGAAACGATGATTGTGAATTCATAAAAACATGATTGGCAAATCTACAAGCGGGACAACGTACGAATTGCACGTCTTGCTTTCGAAACGCCTACTATATACAGTGATTGAGCAACAAAGAGTTCAGATGTCCTTGTTGAAGGTCTCTACCGACATTGGAGACCTGCGAGTCTCTGTTAAGTTCCACGGCCACAGTCCATGTCAAACTCACTTGTACGTTCCGAACATCATATCCCACCACATGAACAAATGCCCAAAGTTGAAGATGAAGCACTGAATGTTTCGTCACTCACACTTCATCCCCGTGAACTTGTACCTTGTGGTGCACATGGTGGTCACCCGCGGTTCCGAAGCCGATCTTACGGAAAAGAGGATCCCAAGGGTGCGAAACTTCGCTGCAATATCTTGTCACATGACAACTCAAACAGCAGAGTCTCAAACCTGTGCAGGAGCGTCAGCCAGGAGGCGTAGATGGTTCCGAACGCCATGTACGACCAGACGTTGCAGTGCACGATCTAGAAGACAAGTAGCAAAGTCAGACCCGCACGTAAGATCCATGTCAACGTTTGTTGCTACCTGAGCAGTGAGAAACAAGGGAAGTAGAATCATGAAGATTGTGTCGCAGATCGACCCATTGAACGCATCGAACATCTGAAGGCGAGCTAGTTCAGAATTGCAGCGCCAGTTGCAAGCCACGTCACCTTGGGGTTGAGAAAGCGATGGTGCGGCTTGTGGCTCATCCTGTAGATCCAGGGAGAAAGTTTGTGCTCCTGCCTCACATCAGTTCATGTCGCTCAGGACGGCACGAGCTCACTCCAAGATGCATGACCGTCTGGAAGAAGTCGTTGATGACCAGCTGCGGACAGTCAGTGAGTGAGGGGGAGGGGGGGGAAGCAAGAGGAAGAAGAGGAAGGCGATCACCTGTGCAAACACATGGACTGGGTTTACCGTCCCTTCGGCAGAGTAGTAAGACTTGGGCATCAGTCTGAACATCCAGGTGCCGGACAAGTAGAGGGAGAGGAGCACAAATCCTTCAGGCTGCGCGAGATGCCCCATCATGTCTGAGAGGAAGGAAGATTCCGGCATGACAGCTTTCTGGATGCGAGAGCAGTTGCTGCGGAGATGAAAGAAATGGTACAAGATGACTACAACTTGCCCACATGCTACAGCAAAGATCCCAGTGAGCAGAGCAGGGCGGTTTGTGAGTGGCCACCCAGGGTCAGGCCATGAGCTGTCTCCATACACGTATGCGCTGTACGATGGAGACGAAGCAGCGGATTCGTTCCATGCAGCTTCCATGTTGCTAAAACCTGAAAATGCAGATGGTGACAAACCTATCATTTTCATCGCATGTCATTGCTATCCTCATTATTGTTACCAATGATCTCTTCTAGTCAGCTCATGTAAAATAATCTTCCTATCATCATATTCAAATCATCGAGGGAGAACCGATCGGAAGCTCTCCTCATTCATTCTCCTCCAATGCAAGTTCTTGCTCACTCAGATGTCCTTCTTCCTCCCGCATCATCATCAACAGTTAGCACTCTACCATGGTGAACGACGTTGCTGGCACTGTCTTACATCTCCTCTCTGCTCCCGCTCCTCTCTTGCCCCTTGTCCCTCCCCGCCTCCCTCCTCTTCCTCTTCCCCTGCCTCCCGCGTCCCTTGCTCAAGGGCTGCCATTTCCCCCGGCCCATCCTCGCGCTTTGAACGTTCGGGTCTGACAGCTACGTTTCCACCTCAGAGTCATAAAATTGACTGATATTTATTGAGTAAACAATATTGGAATGCACGTGAAATGCATTGGCAAGGGGGCAGCAAGGGAATGGAGGAAGAGAGGGAGGAAGGGAGGGAGGGAGAGAGGGAGGGGGGGGGAGGAGGTGGGAGGGAGGGAGGAGAGGGGGGGTGAGAGGGTGCGAGCAACGTCGGAGAGCGTGGTGAAGAGATAAATGCGGAAGGTGGAGGGAGAGGAAGGTGAGCATGAGCGTGAGT